AGTGCACTCAAAAGTCGCCGACTTATAAACAAACTACAAAACTATTGATATTAATTCGTATTACTATAATTTTTATAATATCAAATATGCACAATTCTATCAAAAGTTGTTATAATTATTATAACAACAATTAGAATTTTATAATTTAAAAACACTTTTAAATACAATTATAAACAACAGTTTATTTAAATATCATTAAAATCAAAAAATTTAAATTTTAAAATAAGATCACCACAATAACAAAATTGCCGTTCTTCAAAAATCAATTTCATCGTTAATTTCATCGTTAATTTCATTCATTAAACTTTCTGAAAAAAATGATTTCTCCCACTTCTCCACACGGAAAAGGTCTCAGTAATGATGTGGCATCATCAACCAACTCATTTGTAGTTGAAGAATGTGGTTCAGTTGGAATTACTATTTGTTGAATTGCTCTTGAAGAATTTCGAACACCCAGAAATTCGTTTATTGAATTGTATTGTCTTAAATTGTTTTCGTTGTGAACTTGTTTTGCTCTATGATACTCTCCACTCAATTTTGACACAATTTCTCCAGCAATTCGTGGGAGTTGAATTGGGGTTGTTCCAACAGGGGTCGAATAATCTCCATCTGCCATTCTTTTGAAGAGATAAAAAGGAAACTTTCTTAACGGCTTTTTTGATATGTGGTAATTACAAAGTGAATGAGCAATATTGAGTAGAGACTCATAATCTCTTTTTAATAGCCCGTATTTGTTTCTCATCAACTTAAATAATATTATCAGTCGACCAAAATGATTTTCAACGAGAATTCTGACACTTGAGTGAACTACATTGTACGCTTTAATAAGTGAATTGTCTACTTTTGTTAATAACATCATTGATTCACATTCAATTGTGCCCCGCTCACATTCAAAATGGTTCGAATCAATAATAAACTCAACATTCGAAACTTCGAGCACGCCCAAGATTTGATATGTTGAGTTTGAAACATCCTCAAAATTTGTTTCAAAAGTTGTAGTGCAACACACCCTACATTTGGCATCTCTTTCTGTCACGTCAACTTGTCTGAACAACGTGTATAGTTCTATTTCCTGCACTGTTTCCGTATCAAAGTGAACTATTTCGACAACAGAACCACTTACACCTCCTTTAAATACATTGTTTTTTAAAGTTCCTTCGAAGTTTCCTCTAATTCTCAATCTATGTTCAGAACCATTCATCATTAGACTAATATTGATCAAATAATCTTCTGTTAATACAATTTGTTCGTTTTTTCCAGTTTTGGGATAAGGTATCAAAGTTTGTCCGACTCCTCTGTATCCACTATCTGCAAGTACCCATTCATTTTCCACAACAAAACTGGGATCCCAATTACACTTGTAGACAGTTAAATCGTTTGTTGCGCATTGTTGAGTTATTGACACTTTAACAGCCATTCCATCACAGTTAACATAAACTTCTGTTTTGAGCACACTACAATGATGTTTAAATGTAAAATATCTACCATCCTTTACTTTGCGTTCATTTTCTGATGTTTTTAGTTGTGTTGAAATCATTTGGTCTCTTCCATCAACGATGTAAAATGAATGTTCAAGTTGAGGAATAAACCTTAAATAATCTTGACTTCTGCCTGTTGCCAAATTTACACGAAGTTTTTGGGGAATACAATTTAAACTTTCAATAAAATCCTTTTCATTTTTACTGCAAAAAGTAAATATGATCTTTCTAAATTTCTCGAAATAAAACTAATTTTTGAATTTTTACAAATCTGTTTTTCATCTGAAATGTTGCTTCTTTTTCTATAATCAAATATATCATATAATGTTTTGTAATCAAATGCTTGTTTGAGAAATGTAAGTAGCAATAAAAATAATTTTTATTGAATTCAAAATTTGATTTTCGTTTACTGAAAGTATATTTAAATCAATTCATTGTTTAACATATTTTCTGTTTACAGCGTCCCATCTTCCATTGTATAGTATTATATCGAAAATATCGTCAAATTCATCATTTGTGAATCCTGTTAAATCAACAATTGTTGATAATGTATGTTTTAAAAACACTTTTATTGGATAATTTAAACGTTTTTCATTGGAAGTGGGTTTTGTTGGGTATATGGATTCTATTGTTATTTCTGCGTTATAATCAATTTCATTTTCACTTCGACGACGCTGTCTTGTTGGTGTGTCTCCCGTGTGATATTCTTCAAATTCTTCCTCATTGACAATTAATGATCTTTGCAATGCAATTAAAGTGTTGTTACGTGATGGTTGTTTCTGAGTTTCGACCATGGTCAAAAGTGGTTGATGATGTTCAGTTGTTTGGTATGTTGTTTGTGTAGCTTCATTATACTGTGAATTGTGTATCGAATTATCAGGGTTAATGATATGAGTGTTTTGAATATTCTGGTGTTGAAATATTTGTTGTATGTGAAGGGTCTGTGGAATTAAATTGACACTCTGTTGACTTTGTGCAATATGTGTTGATTGGCTGTTATTTTAAGAGTTAGTTAAAGACCGTTGTGTCAACTGATTAACTTCACCTTGTGTTGTTTATAATATCAGTTGATTTGTAGTAATTTGTTGTATAGATACTTCCTCCATATATTGAGTTGATTTGACGTTTCTTTTTATTTTCTTTTTGTTATTTCTTGTTCCTTTCTTTATCGTTCGTTTGAGTGGTGGGTGATTTGTGTGCATATTAGCTTCTTGATTGACATGAGAAGAAAACGTGTGTAGAAAACGTAGAGGTGTGGTGCTCATGTAATTGTAAGATTATTTTTGAGTTTCATTTTAATCTCAAGTTTGTTTTTTTGTGGCAAAATGAACTTTTACTTATTTACTTTTTGCCTTTTGTTTCTTTTTCTCACAAAATCACTATTATTATTCATTAATTTTTATTTTCTTTTTTATTTTTTTATAGTTATTTTAAATAATTATTTAATGATTTTAAAATAGTTTTAATATTGATTAATTTATCTTTTTTATAAGTAAATTTTATTGTATTTAAATTATAAATATAGGTCAGCGACTTTCGATATGACTAAAAAGTCGGCGACTTTTTAGGAAACTCAAAAGTCGCCGAACAGCTATAATAAGAACTTATTATTAAAACTTAATAAACTATATATAATAATGTGTTATATTATTAAAAAATAAACTATAACAATAGTTTGTTATGCCTGTTGTATTCTTTATATGCTTTAACTAGACTGATATTGTAATTTTATTATATAAAATAATATTAAATAAATATAAAGTTTATAAAATTATGATTAAATAAACAAGAAAACAAGTGTATTAAAATTTGATTAAGTAACAATAATATAATAATGTTTAAAAATTGAAAACTGAAATTGAGTTTCCATGTTTTTGTGATAGTTTCAACACTTTTGCCTCACTTGAAAAAACGTTTTTAAGATATCACACAAAGAATTACATTACAAAAACATTAAGTTTTTAAAGAGAAAAAAGTTTAATAAAAAATGAATTTTATAATAAAATAAAACTCATGTAATGTTTCAATTATATAATTAAGAAAACACTTTTCTATTTTTCCAATACTTATAATAATCAAGTGGGTAACTCTGTGTTGGAAATCCGCGGTGTCTTCCGAGTATCATTAAAATACAGATGAAACACTGGCCTACTGGTGTTAAATCAGCAGAAAAACTACACGGTAATTTGTTTGATCCAAGTGACATCCCAACTGTTCCAATAGCAGAAGATACTTCAAACAACACATCGAGTGTGACTTGAGCCGGTTCTGCGTCGTGTTGGTGATTCGTTGTGTATGACCACATAACAAGTAAAGAGAATACATATACCCATCTACATCTTAGTCGAATCCATTATCACTCTAATAACAAACACTGTATGATTGAAGAACATATCTTTCACATAATTAAAGATGGTCCCCACGTTTGTTTGAAGTTGTGCCAACCCACTTGACAAATTGACTTCGTCGTCTCTGATCTTTCTTAAAATGACAACGGGATAGTTAGCAACATACATTGATAGCATGTATGTGAATAACACAGGTGGCCAGAGTTCTTTCGGATTTACTGCAGCAAACCCCGCTGTTCTTGTAAACGAGGAATGTGCAAATCCAATAAGAAAAGGCTGGATATCATTTTTCGAGTATAACAAACAGAAGAACGAAGTTTGGAGGAACATCAAGAAGAGCTGCACAACAAAAAGCAGTTTCGTCTGTGTTGATGAAAAGAAGTAAAGGGACATCCTTGTTGGGGCCTTTAAGATGTATAATAACGGCTGATTTGACATTCCCATTGGCTCCGTCTTCGACTTTTTCTCGAATATCCTGTGGAGACAGAAAACAATCCATCGTGTCATGATTGGTATCATAATGTTTCCCGTTGCGTTCAAAAATACGCACGCGAGTATAATTGGGTAATTGTGGTTGAATGGCATGAGTGAGTCTTGGTTGATGGTTAATCCCAAATTGTTAAATGCAGAGATTGTCGTGAACAACGAGAACCACAACCCATTGACTTGTTGACCCTTATAACGTCAATTGTTGTTACTTAATTAATTAACAATTATTAATTATTAAAAACTCATTCAAACAAACTTTGAGGTATGCAACTATTGTGTCATCCGTATACGTTGCTATCAGAATGCATATAAACCCAACTAGTTTGAAAAACGTTGTGTAGAACAATTGTACATAAATGAAGTACTTGAGCGATTTCAGTTCAAGTTCATAATCGAAGACTAGAGGCTCCATTTCACTTGTGATAACAACAAATGTTTCATCTTGTATGGTAATGGTCTTATCATCTTCAATGTCTTCACTCGAACTGAAGTCCATGACACCTCCATTACTCTGTTGATACTTTTTTTCCTTTTGGAGTTGATGTGCTATATTATAAAGTCGGTAGTATCGACACAATGATGGTACTATTGTTGAAGCAAACATGACTCCGCAGATTTCAGAAGCAAAACAGACAACAACTTGTGTTTGAAGAGTCGTCTGCGTGTTATTTCACTAATATTTTGTTATGGAAAAAACAACAAACCACAGAAAAATCAAATGTGAGCAGCCCAGTGTCTGTCGCCGTAGTGATTCCCAAAAACATTGCTTGGAGAATTGTTATTTGTGAATAGTCTCTTTCAAAGTAATATGTGACAACTGCAACTAAGAAAGACATAAAAAGTGTATAGTATGTGTGGTATGAATAAAAAGACTGCAATGAGCTCAGCACTCGTTTCAGAATGCCATTCTGCATTTATTTTAGTGAGATGCTTTACAGGGACATTCAATTCAAAGAACCCTTCATATTCTTATGTTGATTAGTATAAAATGCTATAAATGCGTGAATGACTTCGATGAACTATAAATATAGATAAAATATCTATTTTTATATGGTTTTCATTTTAATTCTGTTTTTTTGGCAAAGCAAAGTGACTGAAAATCAATTTAAGCATTATTGAACCGAAAAAAGACTCAAAAAATAGTTTTTGTTATTATTTTCAATCTAAACCCACTTTTGCCGAGTTTAATTGCTCAGATTGACAAGAACTTATATATTAATAGTTAAATATAGTATTTATTCTAATACAAAAAGCGTTAAAAAAAAGAGCCTGAGAACAGGACCAAAAAAAAGCGAAAAACGCCACCGAAAAAGAAAAAAATTCAGAAGGAAAAAAAAGAAAACAAAAAACAGCAATTCATCCTTTTCAAGACTTTTTTCTTTTGTGATAAGGAACAAAAAAAGCAAACCGATGGAAGGGCCTAGCAATTTCCAAAGGGACTATATCGGTATTCCACCTGAAAGTCGGTTTATAACTATTATTGATCCTTTATCATTACCAGATCGTGTCACCCCAATCGTTATCCAATCCCCAATACATAAACTCGTGTTTATCTCCTTCAACAACAACTATCCATTACCTCCCATGGACGTTGTCAATTCAAATGTATTGCAACAGGAAAACCAAAATACAGCGTTTCAGACGAATTATGAAGAGAATGATATCGGTAACCCAACACAACAAATGGAAATGGACGATGCCGATAAAACAGTACTTCAGTATGATGATCAAAGCGACTGTAATGTCGCAGCGGAGTTACAAAAATCATTGAACAAAGAAAATGAAGAGAAAAAACCAAAAACGTTGATTACGCCTCAACTTCAAGCACCAAAAACTAAGAAGAAGTATGGAAATTTAAAGAGGAAGTCACCAACGAAAAAATTGGTGAGAGGGATGCCAAGTCTTGTGAAAGGAGTTTCAACGGAACAACTCTTTCCTGATTTGTCGAGTGAAGTGGAACATCAAAAAAAGATTAAAATGCCGATATCACCAATTCCTCAAGTCACCCCCAGTACAAATACAAAGAATGAAAAACTCAGTCCGCTGCGGAGGAAATCAGACGAGAAAGAAACTCAACCGGAAATTATTACTAATATTAACACCGAGACAACACCGTTTAATGGAGACGCGTTGGACAAACAAATCACTAAAGTGAAGAAACAACATGTATCAACCCCTCTCACACAAACAAAATCAATGCACTTCCTTAAAGACTTGGCAATCAAAGAAAAGGAGAAGGTAGAAATACAAGATAATGATTATCCAATCACTGATTATAAATCTGATGGTTCGGAAGAGGACGACCAAGATAAGAGGAGGTCCGATAAAACAAATCAAAGACAAAAATGGGTCGAACATGGCAACTTGACGCCAATCATGAATCAAAACGCTCGTGTAGATCCTGTTAATGTGTTTGGCGTTTCTCCTCTCTCAGCAATTAGTTTGATGCGGTTCGTTCCAAAAGAACAGCGCGTGAAGGCAGACTCAAGAAATAAATCACTTGCTTGGGATGACTCGAAATTCATTAAAAAACACTGACTTTGTTTAATCAATTTTTTATATCACACTCTTCTTATTTTTATCTTCATTTCTATTATTAAATTATAGATTATTATATTACTATGTATTGGTTAGTCTATTTATAAGTTGTATTTATGGTTTGAATCTATGGTTGTAATATGGATTTGAATAATTTTTATTTTTATTATATTTATAGATATTTATAATTTAATTATTAATAATTATTAATAATTATATTAATAATATTTAGTTTATAATAGTTATAAAATAACATTTCTTTGTTTTCTCATTAGTAATAATAATTATAATTATAAAAATATAAACAATTGGATTGTATTTATTACTTTTTATAAGAAAAATAATTAATTATTAATAATAGTTAACTAGTTAATACTGAACTATATTAGAACAAATTTTCATTAATCATTAAACATGACAAAACGAAAAAACAAAGGCAAAAACAAAAAATGATATTGGTTTTTTGTATAAAAACTATTTTTTATTACTTTTCTTTTAAAAACGTTTATATTATCTTTTTTATATCTCATAAAGTCCGCAAAAAAGCACTTTTGGAATAACACAAAACAAAAGAGTGAAAAAATGCAGGAAAGAAATAGTATTGGAATGGTTTACCACATGAAAAAAGATGCCGAATTAATGTAGTTACGACTTGGTTTAAAAACGTCATGAGGAATGAATGTCAAATAAAATCAAGGCACTCAACTGCCTATAAAAAGATTTCCCCAATCTTGATAACATCAAATGGCTTCAACAAACACTATAGTTATCAACTCTATTTGCCCGGAAACTAAAGAAGAAGACTTGCAAAGATTATTTGGTCTTGCTGGTGAGATTGAGAAAGTCGTGATTGACCACGAGACTTCATCTGCCAAAGTGGTGTATAAGACAGCTGACTCTGCTCAAAAAGCTTTGTTGTTGAATGGTGCGTTAATGAATGGGTCCAATGTTGTTGTCGATATGGAACACCTTCCAGAGAAAGTCATCACTGAAGAAGAAGTCGTTCAAATTGCATCAAAGTGGGCGTCCCTCAATGATATTGTCGAGAGACTCAAATCAATTGACGAGAAAACCCATTTCACGGAGTACTGTGTCTTGTGTTACATTCTTGCACTCTCAAAATCAGAGGACATTTATCACAACTTCCACCCCATACAATCAATCACCAATGGGCTCAACCACGTCGATGACAAAATGAACATCTCTGGTTTCATCTGTTTGTGTGACGATAAGATCAGAGAGTTATTGCGTAAATTTAACCCAAGACAAGTCCCACAAGTCGAACAACAAGTCCAGACTGCCCCTGCTGAGATTCAGCCAAAACCTGTTTCTGCCTAATTCATTTTTTTGTTCATCCATTCCATATACTATACATTATTAATTATTTATTATATTTAATGAATCTTTTAAAAACAACTAGAAGTCATAGTAAAATAATTAATAATAGACGATCCATCAAATATCATACAAAATAATCAATCATCGGAGTCTGATAAGACATAACTCTTCTTTGTGGGCACCGACTTAATCTGAGTTGGTTCTGGAAGACGCTTATTAACACCTGGGTTTGAAATGGGCGGTCTTTTAGTATCTGGTCGCGAAATTGAGCGCTGGTCTTTGAACGACTTTGACTCGGAGCGGGAAATGGATTTAGAAGGTTCTTGTCGACTAATTCCACGCTGTGGGAATGACGAAAAGCTTCTTGATTCCTTCTTCTCGTCGCTCTCTGATTTTCGAAGTCGTGCGATGAAACTCTCTTCTCGAGTCTTTCGTCGCAAGAACTCTTTGATTTTCTCTGCAACGTCATACCTGACAAACAAGGTCAACTCTTCTTCTTTATAAAAGACAACTCCCTTCATCTTCTCTGCTTCACTTTTGGTCAAGTGGTAGAGTTCCTTTTGCACTTCAAGTTCGGGCTCATAAAATCGAAATTTGACCGCCCGCACCTCTTTCAGTCGATTTAACTCTCGTTTCCACAAGTCGATTTGTGCCTGAATGTTCTTTGGCAAATTCGGTTGCAAAAAATTGACAAGCATTTCGTTGGTGATACCCTTCAAAAACGCTTCGGTCACAGTATCATATGTAATCCTCCCCACACACAAATTGGTTAATTGCAAATTCTGTCGAATGAATAACGAGTACAACTTCACTTGGAAGAAACTCTCCGTGTAAATGTACACTGTGTAATTCGTCTCAGTGATTGTCCTTGGTTTAGTCACCAAGTCTGACGGGACAAGCGCATTTGATCTTAAAAGAGACATCAGCGGCGTCACAACAAGTGCGTTCTTCTCTTTCGAATACGCAATAATCCCCATCATATCAAACAATATCAGTGGTGCTGCAGAATAGATTTTTGTGAATGGGTCTGCATTGTAACATGTCTCTGGAGCCAAATAAGTCAACTCGAAAAATTCGTTGATCAACTTCCCCATCCTTCTCTTCCTCTGTGCCGGTCCAAAGATGCTCAGCATCAGAATCCAAATCTGTGTCTTTGTCTCTTGGAACAAGAATTGGTACCCCTTTCTTGTAATTTGTGAACCCGCGTCATTGACAAGTTCAAGGTCTTTGAAGAGTTCAAACGCCGATTTGGGTAAATTGTGGGACTCATTGAATGTCAGTAATTTCATTAAAAAGTCCTCAAACATCTTCACCGCGTTATTCAGTGAAGCTTTTTTGATCAGAGCATCCTTAACACTGAAATTGCAGTCGCTTACAACATAGTTTGGCACCATTGGGCCAAGAATAGATTCCTTCAAATGGGTTTGGAAGTCCGCGTTCATTTGGAATTGGGTCTTCCCATTGATCATCACTTTCTTAATAATTTTGACGCTTTCGAGCAAAGAGAGGACGTGTATGATCTCTTGTTTAGTTATCGTAAATTGTTTTTCTACAGTGGGTAAGTCAATGGTCGACGACAAAAAGACGAGTCGGAGTAGAAGTGATTGGCATAGTGATGGCAACAATCGAAAGATCCCCGAACTACTCCATTTAGTTTGATAAATGACTCGATACGCTCCCTCTGGGAAGTCTTGAAAATACTTCAGCACGTCCTTCTCGAGGATGTTCTCCATATTATTATTATAGTATTTTCGAGTTTTTTCTTCTCACAAATCGTCTTGATATGAATTAATACAAATCTATTAAATAAATTGATATGGTTTAATAATAGTATTAATTTTGCTATTCACAAATCGAAAGTTTGAAAAACATTTTAAATAACAATTAATTGGGTACGACAGACGATGCAACCTTTTCCTCGTTTGGTCTTTGCACAATTGGAGTTCGATTTGTCTTATAAAAGGCAAAGTGGTACTCGTGTTGTGCAATAATTTCGTTCATCAAAATGGGGTTCTCGCATGCCTTTCTGAAATCCGGGTTTTGAAGTTTGTCCAAGTAAAAGAGACAAGCTGGGTATTGAATGAATTGGATATAATTTGGTTGTTTCCAGTATTGTAAATACTTTAAGAAGTGTACCATTGCTGGTTTCTCGAGTTGTTTGTGTTGCGCCAAGTCTATGCGTTATTTTGTTATACAAAATGTTATTCACTCTTTTTAAAAAAATACAAACATTGAAGGTAATATGGGTTCGCTAAACATTGAATAAATTCTAACTCATATTCAAATCGCGTTTTGTCACTGAGTTTACTTGTTGGACGTTGGTCTATGTTTTCCATTTATCACTTTTTAGTTGTGGGATATATAACTATAATTATATTATTTTTATTTATAATATAGTTCATATTATTATATTAAATTATGGTTTCAAATTACTATGAATAAAAAAAGTAAAATTGTAAAACAAAGAAAGACTCATAATAATAATAATGGAAGTCGAGAAAAAACCCTCCTTCAAAATTTACTCAACGACGCGCGTAGGCGCAGTTCCGTTTATTACAATAGATAATCACAATAAATACCTCAGCACTGTAGATTCACTTCTTTTTTCTTTTGGCGACTTGTTTGTTTCTATTGATTCGACTAATTATAAAAGGGTGTAATATATAAATAATAATAGTAGTAAATAATATATGAACAGATATAGTTAAGATATTAAATAAAAATAGTAAATATATACTAATGAATAGATATGAAGCTAAAGATTACTTAATCAAGAGTAAAATGACTTACAAGAAGTATTTCATGCTTCCTGAAACGACAAATCATATTTTAACACTCTCTCTTGTGAATAGCATTGATGAGTGTTCCACCAAACTCTCAAAGTCTGACTTTAACTTAACAACACGAGGAGGATATCGTCCTATAACTCCAACTCAAATCGTAGAATTTGCCACACAGGCCGGGTTTGCACAAGTTGAAGGTGTCGCGACGTCTCCAGCCAAAAAGAAACGTTCGGATAAGAAGTTAAAAATAACGCGAGATGTTGTGATTCGTGCATTGAAGCAAATGGTAGCCACCAAGACCGAAATAAAGAGTCCCCTTGAGATAGTAGCTTCTGTGAATTTGTGTGGTCGTGGTGATGCAGAATATGTTAACAGAGTGAAGGCTCTTGGAATCACGTCGATGGTGTTTGACTGTGAATACATAGAAGACCAAAATTCGTTAATTAGTTATGTTGAGGCGGTCTTACCTGAGTGCAGTGGACTAGCTTTATATGCGAAGGTATACAAATTTGAGTTAGAGAAGTACATAACGTTTGCTCAAAAGGGGATTTCAGTGTGGACTAATGGAATCAGTGAAATTACTATGAATGGGCAGATGGAAGTCTTTCCTATTAGTCTTGATACAACAGATCAAACAAACACTACAATAGATATGTACGACGAAAAGTGGAAAGAAATGGTCGACGTCGTTGCTGAGAAGGATTGCAAATGCTTCACTTGTTCAAAGAACAATTCGGTATCGTACGTCCACCACTTATTGTTGTGTCATGAACTCACTGGAAGTACACTCGTGTCTTTGCACAACGTAACCAAAACAAAGGTATTCGAAGTTTTTTTGAATGAACTCATTAACTCGGGAGATAAGGCTAAGTTCGAGAAGTTTGAAAATATCATCAAAGCGCTCGTCCCTCCACCACAATCAAGTAAAAGAAAACTCTATGAATCCTTCAACAGAAAAGAAGAAGATGATTGAAAACTTGTTAAAGTTCTATTTGAAAGGTTGAATCCAGTGATATATCGTTTAATATTTTATATAGTATATTTACCATACTTATAATGACATTATTTCAAAAAAATAAACCCCATAATTATTGTTTGAGATTATATAATTTGTTATAAATTTGTTATCGTGATATGATATCGATGAAGAACATTATCAGCATATATCTGATACAATTGATGATAGATTAATCTGAGATAATATTTTTATCTATTTTTTTGAATCAAAAGTAAATTACATATCAAATATTTTATATTATATTAATATTTATATTATAAAGGCATAGAGATATTAAAATACTATACGAAATAATACATTAATCTATTACCTTTTGAATGAAGTTTGGATGACTAAACCTTTGAACTGAACAGATGAAACAGGTTGAGTTGATATACCAGAAACTCCCTGACATCATACGAGATATTTCACAACCACCAACTACCCATCTAAAAGACGATTTGAATGATGTTTTGATCGATTCAATACTTGACAGTGTTCTTGTCGATGGTCCATTAAAAGAGTACATCGCCTTTATACACTTCTATCAAAAGCAAAAACAAAATACTTGGGTGTATCACTTACAAAAGGCGATGGAATGTACAAACGCGTTTGATTCTTTTGAAGAACAAATCCTTCCAAACAGTCGAACTGTCATTTTCCTTTTCAGTCGAATTTCGTTCGTCTCCGTTTTAAATACCACCGATACGAACAAAACAGACGTTGCGAAGTATATGACAACCCATGACGTTGTATACTGCGAAGGAAATTTTGCGATTCTTCTTTCGGAAGTGTTGAATACTTTTGTCGAAGTACTTCCCAGCACTGCATTCACTTTTGAATTCTACCAAAAAATGCTTTTATACGCATTTATGGACCGCTTTGACATCTTCCAGTTGGTCGAAAAGAGTTTACCAAACAACGACATTTCGCTTTTGTTGTCTTCATTCTGCGACACGTCGTATCTCCAACTTCTGAAGAAAAATCATTTGAAATATCGTAAAAGTGTTCTTTGGCCCTTTCTCGACTTCTTTCTTGTCAACAACAACACGCCACTCTCGTGCTACCAGAACTCTTCAGAGATGATTTCATTGTATATAACACACCTCTCTCATCTTCCTGTGATCTCAACCGAAGAAGATCAATGTCGAGAATTTCTGAAGAACTACACGTGTAATAGAAAAAGTCTGATGGTATTACCAAACACGTTACACGCCATTCCACGAGTCAACTTTGAGAAGGGTGTTCATTACTTACTGCAGTCGGTGAACACCGAAAATGTGAAACGGATACAATCGAAATACAAGACAATCGATGAAGCACTGACTTCCATCAAATCATTCGACAAATGTGTTCGTGGTTCCACAACAACGTTGTTATGGATATCATACGATATCGACAAGGAGGAGGTTGCTATCGCGCAATTCCTTCACAAATTACACAACTTGTCTGTATCGGACCAACTCCTCACTTTGTTATCATTATGTGAAGTAACAATGACGTATGACACGTGCGCGTTATTGCTTGAAAAGAATATGGGAGTGGAATATGTTAAGAGGCGGATCGAGACGAAATTGGATCATATCAACAAGTGCCTCAAGATCTTAGGCGAGATGAAAAACAGAGCGGAGCTGTACCATATTATATTTGCTCTGAAACATATGGCCAAAACATTTCCCGTGCCTCAATGGTTGCCGCTGTTGTTTGCCATTGAGTTATCTAAACCCGAATTATTTGACATTGTTCAGTTCACTCTCATCGAAACAATCACACTCGAGACAATACCAAACTACCAACTCATTGAAATATTAAAATCCGGTCTTGTTGGCGATGAATTGACTGTCGCTGTGCTGATCGAAGCAATGAAATGTGTACAGAACAATTGTTATAAACGGGCGCTTCAGATCTGTCGGTGTAAAGAGGCGATGACGGACTCCAGAGTTATATTACTTGAATACCTCATCTCATTCAAAAGTGGCGAGGTGTTCTTAGGTAATGTGGTTGAGAGATACAAATCAAGCACACACCCACTCCCCGATGTTTTTCAGTTACTCAAACTGTTGTCTAAAACTCCCTCTAATGCATCAAATGGGTGTTCGCCACTCACAAGTCCAAAACAAATAGCAGAGAACTCACCCATCTTCGACGAACTTCATCTTTTCAAAGAAAACCAAAAGTGTTGGAGCATTACAGGAGAATTCAACCAAATCGTTTTAAAAACAAATGAACGTTTAAAAGGAATGAACGTGATGAAAGGACTGGAGTTTGTTAATGTCGACGCATTACGAACAGTGATGCAATGTTATGACGTTCGACTTCTGAAAAGTGTTGAGCCGGTTCCTTCATTCGTTGGGTTTGACAAAAAGTTTTACATCTCAAGTCTGTTTCGGACAGTCAAACAGAGTTCGGTGGATGTCGTGAAGTGGCGAGCTTTATATCGGCTGTTGGAGATCTCGGGTAACATGCCCTTAGAAATTGCAATGTAATTTATTGTACTCTTGTAGTTGTGAATAACACATTTCTGCATTATGCATTCACACAAATCGACAATTTGATAATAACAAAAACAAAAGGTAAATTATTTACTTCGTTTTATTCGCTTTCCCCTTCTCTTCTTTATTCACATCACGCATCGCACGGAACGGCGTATTCTCTATTTTCGAGTTGATCCACATCGGCCACTCCGAAACTGGTACGGCCTCGTTCTCCATATCTACATAAAAATCGGTGAGGTTGGTGTTTTTGTTCGTGTTTTGTGTGTTCATGAGTTTCACTCCCAACGCGACATAATTGAACAACAACTTTCTCGTCTCGATATTTAATACATTTTTCTCCACATTGCTCAACCTTGTAATCTTGGACGAAAGTTCCTCGCTGACACTTTTACTCTTCACCTTTTCCTCTCCAAGTAACTTACTCAGACTCGTGACGTTCTTTTCAAGCTCATCAATCCTTTCTCTCATTTGTTTCACTTCGAATGTCGACTTGACCAAGTCGTCCGGCATTGTGTTCCGTTTTCCTTTTGATCCCTCCACCTTAAAGGAGTTAATAAGGTATTCCAAGTCCTCACTTTTGTGTTCCGCCTTTTCTCTCTTCTCATTTTCCTCAATCAGCAATTTTTCAAGCCTCTCACTTTTCGCCTTTTCTGTCTGTGTCGTTCCACTCATCCTTTCAATCTCCGCAATCTTCTCACTCAACAGTGTTTCATAACTCATTTTGGCGTCATCTTTCTCTTTTGTGAGCATTTGAACTCGATCTTCCAATCCAGAAACAACGTTCTTCATTCGCATCACACACAAAACTATCTTCTCCTTATCTTTCTGTAACATCGCGTTCTGTTCCCGACACTCATTCACAACGGATTGGACGTATCGCGCTCTTGAGTCATTCTCCATGTTTTTCTTGACGTGATCCCAAATGATTTCGTCGAGGCTATTCCGCGTACTCTCCATGTTGTTTTTGACCATTTCCACAATTTTAAAACTGTCGTCGAGAATCTGCCCCATCTTCTCTTCCGAAGTTTCCCAATTCTTGATCGACTCGTCCATGTACGCCGACTTCGTTTCCACATTCTTCATCATGCGTTTGATCAGATCGTCCTTCTCGACAATTTGATCTTTCAATTGCTGGATGGTGATTTGAAAAGTAGCGGCAAGGTCGGAGGAACTCTTTTTCTCCATTAACACCACCTCATTTTGGTCTTTTGCCGCCTTTAACTGCTTTTCAAGTCCAACAGTCTCTTTCTTTACTTTACTCAACTCGGACTCAAGACGTTCACATTTGGCAGTTTGCTCCAATCGATCTTCTTGTGCCATTTTCAGTTTCTCTAGAAGTCCATCTTTTTCTGCAAGTATTTGTGCTTTTTCTTTTTCAAGATCGCCTAACTGCTTTTGCGCATTTGTGTCTTCCGCCTTCTTATCTTCCGATGTGTAGTACTTCTCCACCTCTTCCCGCAGAAGGTCATTCTCACTCGTGACGGAGCATAACTCCTTTTTTAAAGACTCGATGGTTTGTTTCAGAGAGTCGACACTCTCTGTGGCTTGTGCATCAAGCGGATTGTCCATCCTAATTCCAGTTTTCTTTCCTTCTTTTCTTCACACTTAAGTTCTTTTTGACGATTTTTACTATCTTTCTTGATACTATAATAAACTACTTAAATGTCCTGAACTAATAAGGAATTAACCTCGATAATTGTTTCAACAAGAAACTGAATGTGGAAAGAACCCCGTTGTTTTACTTGAATTTGACGAATCTCAATTTATTCACTGAAGATCAAATTAATCATTAGAATGCTATTTTTATATAAATAAACTTGCCAAATACTATTTTCATTTCACTCTTCAAACTAAAAGATATTTATAACAAAAATTGAGAAGATATATCTAATTTAGAAATCATTAAAATGTTATTTTCAACCTATAAACTTCTTATAAACAAACTAGTTATTAAAACCACACTTTTGTCTATAATTAAACCAAAATTGTAAAAAGAGAAAAAATTCCATGGTTGATCAGATTGAAAATTATAACTAATTGTTATAAATAATTTTATTATAATTTCTGGTTTAGTACTTCGATTTGATCAACCATGAAAAAATTTGATGGTTGAGTGTTTTGCACGAATAACAAAAGAACACTGCACATAAAGCAATCAAACATAAGAAACTGTCGAACGAAAAGGCTACAACGAGCAAACAACAAAAAATCAGTTGTACAATGTTATTTTGCGTATTTATCAAAAAGCTGTTTGATTTGGGACTGAAACACCCTCTTTGAGTTCGCAGCAAAGACTTTTGACTTCAGTGCTGTTCGTTCTCCATTGATCAATTTCCTCATTATAAATTGTCTTGTCATCGAGTCGTGCGGCAACACTGGCAAGATTGGGTGTGTGCGCGTCGGTCTTAAGAACGGCGGAAATGGTTTAACGCAGTCCTTCGAAGCAATGGATATAGTGTACGACTCGTTATTTTCCGTCGTCAAATTTGGTGTGACAATTATGAAGACATCTGCCCAATAAGTTCTTTCTTTCCGCACCATCAATCACGTTTTCAAGGTAAATAAATAACTCAATAACTATGGTTATTGAGTTATTTATTTTATTAATACATAATACAAAAATATAATAGAATATAGTTTCTCTTTAATACTTTTAATACCAAGAAAATGACAAACGAGTGAAATGTGAAGATATATTTGACGGAACGAACACGTCGTCCTTATTAAGCTGTTCTTTAAAAACGATGACGACGACGTCATTTCCGACAAACCTTTTCCTTTCCAATGATTGCTCGTCCTTTGGTTCTCGAGGAATCATCGGCGCAACATGGAACATACAGTCATACGACTCAAACTGAATTGCAAAACTATGCGTCCCAGTCACGTCTCCTTTTGTGTCGAGTCCTCCCGCATAACGATCATATCCCTTTAACTTCTCTTTCTTTGCAATCAAATCCATGAATTTCCAGAATGCCGGCGACGGATTATCGTTCGCAAATATTTCGTTCTCCTGGTATTGCCCCGGCCCCACATAAACGACTCCAAACCGGTATTTAGTGATTGCCATTGACGCGTGGAACCTCATTAGGTCTTCATCAATATCAAAGTCGTTACTCATTCGTTCGATTTGAGTACTTCCATGGAAGACCTCTTCACTTTTAACGGCCGAGTCTTCACTTTGAATGACACACCGAATGATCCCTTCCTCAGATCGGACATACGTCTTCATGAACGTCGAATCTTTGATGCACGACACTATTTGGTTGTTTGTTTTATCAAAGTAGTGTTTAACGGCAGAGTTATGATAAAAATATTTGGTGTAACACGGAAAGTCGTCGTCCGTGTTAATAATAGTGTAATCGTTCAAGTCGGTGTCGTGTGACGTCGACTCGGGACCCACTTCATACGAGTACCCTCCTTGTATCAACGCTGTCGTTTGTTTGCTCGGCAAATAATTTTCAACAGGGGTTTTGAGAGAACTCCACAAATCGGCAAATTTGGATATCGGCGAGATTTCCATGAACTCAAACCACTGAGCACAATCGATGATGAGCTGCTTTGCGGGAGTTGGAATGGGTGGGTTAGTAGCTATGATTGGTGGGGTACTAGTTTCAAACATCGTGACAAGTATTTTCCTCATCAGTTGCAATTCATCCTCTGAAAAGTTGAGCGAGTCTCGCTTACTCGTAGGCCGCGAAAAGAGTTTGATGACAGAACTACGGCGCGACGTCGACTTGGAAGCCGGTTTCGATGCATGTTCGGATGTGTTGAGAGAGGAGAAAAGAGCTTGCTGTGTGGTGTTAAACCCTCTCAGAGACTCATCCACAGAAGACTCAGCGACAGACCTTCCACGTTTTTTTTTCCTAACAGGAGACAGTTCTGGTTTTAGTGTTGGTGAATTGAGAGAGAGAAAATCGGGAGAAGTTGCGTTGGAGTTAGTGGTCCGCGGGTGGTCTTCGCAGCTTGCGGATGTCGCTGGCTTGAAAAGACTTGACGGAGAGGGTTTCGAGTGGTGAGTCAGTGTGACTGAACGGTCAGAGCAGAGTGGTGAAGATGAAAACAAACAAGTACGTCTTTTGTTTTGATCATCTCGACCAAGGAGATCGGAGTTTTCTTCCGACATTAAATAAATTTTTTTGTTCTTTTAGTTTTATTTTTTTGGGGTAAAAAAAGTCTTTTAGTGATTGTCTTGAAGTGTTAAATTCAGGGAGAAATGCATCCTTTTTATTTCTATCATTTTTGTGTATGGTTATGGAAAAAGCAACATCTTTCTTTTGGAAAATTGAACACTGAGTTAAAGTATCTAATTGAATAAAACAGGGATTTTTTAGGTAATCTAAATATATTCAGTTGTTCTAATAGTAAAAAATGCCGAAAAAAAGAAATAAAGACAGATTTTCGTTTCTTTCACATAAGTTTACGGATTGACTAATAGAAATAGTTAATATTCTTTTTAAAAATAGTTTTTGTATTAATAGGAAAAATAAAAAGTTAAAGAAAACAAATAGAAAAAAAAGATATTAATTTAACACCTAGTTTAACATATTTTAAAGTACCTTAATACCCTTTAAATTGTGTTTCTACTAAAGTTACAGGAAGTTAAACTAATTAAATTTTTAGTTGAAAATAATTAATTAAAATAGAAATAAGTCATGTAGAATCTTTGTTATTAAATGAACTGGTTAATTGTTGGTATATTATTAGGATTATCAGTACTAGTCAAAATAAATTAAACCATAAAAATTATAAGCATTTAAACAGCAAAAAAATGGGTTGAATATAAAGTTGTTTATTTATTATTAAAAATTATTTTTTATAATTTTGAATTAATAATTATAATACAATGAGTTATTATAAAAAGATTTTATTAGTAAAACTTATTATTATTATTCGATTTAAAAATGAATAAAATCATTGATTTTAAATAAAAAAAACTTAATAATTATTAAAAACAAAAAATAATAACAAATCATCAATAAAAGCAAAAAATTTAAAATAATATTACTATTTATTAAAATCTAAAATAGTTCTAACTTATTTTTTTAACCTATTTTTATTAACCACATCTAATAAATAAAAGAATTTATTGATGCGCAAAAAAATAACAAAACCTTCTTTTTTTATTTTATTAAGAAATTATGGTTGAAATAATAATTTAAACAGGTTTCTTTAATAATTATTGTAAAAAATGAAGTAATTGCCAATAGCAAATATTGTTACTTTTTACTCAATTTATATTATGATTGAAATGGTTAATTATTAATTAGTTAATAGATTTGATTGGATTATATAAAACTATTCAACTTGAAAAGGTATTATTCACATGCAACGTGTTAACGACACTTTAATATTGCCTACACTTTTTTGAATCTTTTTACTTGCATCTTGTAATTGTTTAAAAAAGAATTAAAATAATGAACAATAATATAATACTAAATTAATAGTAATATAATTTTTATTTAGATTCTAACTTTTTCTAATTTATTGTATTATTGTTATTTTAATTATTATAAAATATTTATATATATAAATATTATATTTCATAATAAAATTTATATTATTATTTGAATAAAAAAAATGTTATAAATTTATTAATATCTTTTCATCCTATTAAAAAATAAACAAAAAAAAGAAAAAAATTTAAAAAAATTTTTAACACTTTAAATAACATTGAACAAAATTCAAGTGGTCTAAAAATCGGGGAAATATCGAGTTTATTAAATAAATTTCCGTTTTTTTAGAGTTTATATTATGTGCATAAACAATACCAAACCAAAAAAGGAAAATTATCAAGAATTGGATTAATATCCCTCGTAAAACAGGTCAAAACAAAAATAAGGGCGTTATTTTAAGTGTTAATAAATAAAAAATGTTAAACATAACTAACATAAAAAAATACTATTACTAATTCTTTCAATTAAATTAATTATAAAAGGACTTTGACTGTATTGATTGTGATAAAATTATAAAAATTATAAAAATAATAATTCTGAAAAGATGGAGTTTGTTTTAATTTCCAATTATAATTAACATTTGTAAATATAGTAAATGTATAGTACATGTTATTATAAATATAATTTTGATATTATAAGTAGTTATTTTAAAAGAAAAAGAACAATAAACTTTATTTAGTTGTGACGAAAAGATGCTGATTGGCGCTGTTGGTCTCTCTCGCAAGATGAATTTGATCACATTATTTCTATGTTTTATTTTTGGTATGAATTACTTATTACTTTTATCAGCATTGATACGAAGTGACATAGGGAGATTAACACTTGCTATAGGAGTAGTGGACAGTTTTGGAGGTATAGCGATGCTTAGTATACTAATAATCTTTTCCTATCTTCAAACAATTCGATTTCGATATCGAGTATTAGGCTTAACTTCCATGGTCATGAATGTGGTATTAATCTTCACGTGTTTTCTAACAACAAATTTGGTGTACAGTGACGAAGAAATTTCCTCAAGTATTTTATTTAAAAAGAAGTATTTTTATCTTCTTATCGAATTTTTTAATTCTGTCCTTCCCCCATGCAATTTTGTCGTATTTTTCTCACTTAGTTATTCGCTGTCCGCTCAGCACACAACTGCATATGTTTCTGGATGTTCTTTTGGTGTTTTGTTTGTTTGTGCTTTCACATTTGTGAAGACTGCATTTTGGGGATTTCTTCCATTGTTCATCATATCTATATTTGGACTCTTTTGTTCAATATTATTATTATTCTACATGCCATCCGTCTATTCATATTTGAAATCACAAGAGAAAATTGAGTTATCGTCGACTTACATCGACTTGGATCATCAAAAAGAAGAGCCAGACAGTGTATTTAGTGTCTTCATAGGTATAGTGAAACAAACCAAATACTCTTTGATCACACTCTTCTTCTGTTACTTCACATCACTCTTCTTACTTCCTCGTTTTATTAACACGGTGACACGAGAAGCAAACTGTAATAACGCAATGCATTATGGTAAGCTTGAATTCATTTCAGCACAGGTATGTTCACTCTTCTGTGCACTTGGCGATTTCATCGGGAGACTCTTGGAGTTCATTCCAAAGACTCCACCAACCAAAGTTATATGTTGGGGAAGTGTCGTGTACACTCTATTGTCTGTTTTTGTTGTATTACTCGTGTACTTCACAACAGCGGGGTTGGCACATGATGCTGTTCTTATCACACAATATGTGATGACTTCCGTTGGTTTCTTTTTAGGGCTTTTTAATGGGTATTTAGTGGCTTGTGCAATCGAGCACTCTCTCATCGATGTCGAGCCGCGACTGGCAGTCGCCGTTGTTTCTCTTTCGTTGTACTTTGGTGTTCTCATTGGTAACATTTTTCAAATCATCACTGCCACTATCGACAACGCCATATCGAGCAATTACCCAGTCACAAAATGTCCAAATCCCTTGTTCCCCTTCAATTAACTTACTTATTGTTTATCGCCAGTATTTAAACCACAAAAAACGTCCGTTATAAATGTAAGATAATTGGAACTTTTTATAAATAGAAACATAGCGAAATATCCCATTCTTTTTATCCAAATATTCCAAGAAAAAGGGCAGTTGAGAACAGTAAAAAACTGATGCAATACAACAGGAAAAAGTTCTTGTGGTTTTCTAAAAATAAAAGTTTAAAAATAGAAATGGAAAGAGCGAATGAAAATAAAAAGTCTTACAACCAAAATCAATGCAAATAAACTCCTGTCACTCGAAACAAGTTATTCGAACTCAAAAATTCAACTTCAAACACAGACAAAGATGCAACAGGAAATGACATGTGGGTGGCTTATGAAAGAGGGCGGAAGCTGGAAGAGTTGGAAACGACGGTACTTTGATTTAGTCGAAGACAACTTGTCATATTACAAAGACGAAGCAGTTTGTTATCTCTAATTTTTCCTTATCAACTTCTTCAAATGAAAGTTGTAGAAACACAAACCAACACACAGAAAAAGGTTCTTTTGGGAGTCGTCAATTTATCACTGGCGACACATATCGTTGCTGTTGACAATTACCACAAAAAGTTTAATAACATCATTCGGATATGTACACCCGCTCGAACATTTCATTTGAGTGCTGCGACGGAGGAAGAACGACTTGCGTGGTTGGCTTCGATCATCTGTCGCTCGGAGCGATCGAGCATCTGTAAGCCAAGAATCAGTACCGTCCCCGTCACACAAAAGGACTTTGAAATTAAGTGTCTTTTAGGGAAGGGAGCGTACGGCAAAGTCTTTTTAGTCGAGATGAAAAGCACACATGAGGTCTTTGCGATGAAGACAATTGAGAAGAAACAAATTATTGAATACGAGGAAATCGAACACACCATGTCTGAAAGAAGAATATTGTCAAAATTGCATCACCCATTTTTGGTCAATTTATATTACTCATTCCAGACTCCAACTCATGTTTGGTTTTCTACTCTTTTTTAGTGTTCTTGTCTCACATCTAGTTATTCTATATCATCGATTACTGTTCTGGTGGAGAGTTTGTTATCCAACTGTATCAATAATGTGTATTGATAGAAAGGTTCTATTTTTATCTTCAAAAGAATCGAAAGGTAGGAGAAAACACAGCAAAGTTCTATGCGGCACAAATTCTGTTGGCTATAGAGCATCTTCATTCTGCAAATATAGTATATCGCGATATTAAGCCAGAGAACATTTTGATTGGAGCAGACGGATATTTAAGAATGACAGATTTCGGCCTTTCAAAGGAAAATGTCACAAGTACTAACACAACAAATACTTTTTGTGGGACACCAGAGTACTTAGCGCCAGAAGTCGTTGTTGGCAAAAATTACTCGGAGCCTGTCGATTGGTGGGGATTTGGGGTTTTGATATTTGAAATGATTCATGGGCATGCTCCATATGTCAGTCCAGACATCCAAGAGCTCTTCCAAAAGATTATTAGAGACCCCGTGACATTCCCAATAGAGTCGTACCCATCACAAGAATGCAAAGACATCATCACCAAATTACTCGACAAAGATCCATTAAAACGACTTGTCGATCCAAATTCAATTAAATCACATCCTTGGTTCAAAGGATATGATTGGGATGGACTCTTCCAGAAAAAGATCACACCACCATACGTTCCTGTTGTCAAAGATAAAACTGATGTCTCCAATTTCAACAAAGACATTGTCGGAGAAAGTACTCTACTTGATGAGACCGAAGTGGTTGATTCAAAGGATTACTTCAATGATTTTACATTTGTTACTAAGTGACAAAATTATTGTTTTTAGTAGATGCCTATTATAGCGGAATCTAATTTAAAAATAGACCATACATTATATGTGTGACATACACTTGGTGTGCCGATATAATAAAGAGACGATAACAAAACAATAGTTACAAACTAGACAATATAGTTTGATTAAAAATAGTTTGAGTGGAAGAAGAACTGGAATGAGACGTTCTGGTCGATAGAGTAAGGTATTGTCTTTGCAGCGTCTATAATACCAACTAAGTCGATTTGCGACTTTAATTGATTTAAATCGATTTGCCCCACTTGATCCACATGTGACGCATTTGAGAGCGCGTCCATATCATTTTCCCACACAAAGAGGAGTGGCATTCTTGGTGCTGTTGTTGTACATATCGTTTGGAATTTTGTTCTATAATTGTAGTAGTTTTTGACGCATGAGAATGTGAAGTCCAATTCGTCGAAATCCTTTTTGATTACTTTGTCCAACTTCAGTTCGAGTAACTGCAATTTGTCTTTAATGAATTTGTACACCAAATAACTCACAGTGAAGTCGTTCAGTTCCATTGCACTCGACGCTATATTAATGAAGATTTCAAACGCTTTACTCACCAATTTAATCTTGTCCAACACATTTGTCAACGAGTTCAGTCGTTTCATATACTTTTCATACGCCTTACTATTTTTATAATCGAAGAATTCCGCCAATGACACGTTATTGAGCATTTCTCTGTTATAGTATATCATTTGTCTTGCTGTCAAATAAGGGTCGAGTAACACAAAATTGTCATAGTTGACGTCTTGTACCATTTCATCCGAACATGGTCTTTGTCTTGGGGAATTTTGTACTGACGATATTGGTGATGATGACGCAGACATCACCTTTTCCGTCTTCTTATTCCCCGACAGGGATCGTTTCTTAAAACTCGCCTTTTCAGGGGATTTGAGTTCCGGTAGAAATGGATATGAAGTGTGTAACAGACTTTTCTCTTCTTCTTTTTGTGCTCCTTTCACTGCTCGGATCACTGAATTCTTCATCACCTCCGTCGAATCTTCTGTCGCAAAATATTTCATCATGGCACTCCCAATTTCTCCGGGAAACTTGTCGACAAATTCAGAGAAACAGCACACCAACCGTTCAAGTCGACTCTTTCGCTCTACTTGAAATTGAGTCATTTTCTCCCCCTTTTCAAGCAGTTCAAGCTCTTTTTGTTTCTCTTCAATACATTTCCGACTCACGTCTTCAACACTCATGAAAAATTTCCAGCCCGTGACAAACGTTTCGAACATCCCTTGCTTGTCGTGCTTGTCGAGAGCACACTCAAACATTTTCTGTGGGGATATATGTGTGATTTTACCTTCTTCCGAGAAACTTGGATCGTCGTATGGTTCGAAGACGTGGACTGCGTTTGTGACTACGGTGTCGAGAAATGTGGTGCAAATAGGGTTCGTCATATTGTCCTTCCCAAAGATCATTTCAATCATTTCGCTAGTGGTGAAGATTTTCGACAACGCTCGGTAACACAGTTCGCCAAGTATGTACCTCCGCCTCTTCTCCGTCCTCCACACATAAATTCTTGGGTCGATGAATTGGATGTCGTTGAACTGTGGAAGCAATATGAAGTTGTGGAACCTAAAAATGTCGATGAGTTGATGTGGGGGGTTAAGTGTTTTAATTGATGTGAGAATGAGTTCTAATGTCGTCTCCATTTCCTTTTGTTCCTTTTCTTTCCCACCAATGAACCCCCGCAACTTAATAAAAGTTTTCTCAAAGCCACTTGTAGGCGAGTGGCTGTTCTTCTCACGACTTTCTTGTTGTGTTGAACTGTTTGAAAACTGTCGAATTGCTATAGTGTATTCTCGAGGAGTGATTGCTGTTGTATTAATTTGAATGGGTGGGGGAACACTATAACCAAATGATGCGCGTGTTCGGCGATTTTTAGACATGGTTTTCGAGTTGGAGTCTTAATGGTTGTTTGACATTGGTATAGTTTTCCTTTCTTCTATGTGGCTTTCTACCCTATGACAAGGCTTTTTTGCTTTGAAGTCCTTTACTCCTCCTCTAAATTTATTATTTGAATTGAAATTTTCTTCGGCGTTTGCAGATAATATTTATAACTCCTTTTTTCATTCGTCCGACATTTTAAAAAGACCAATTGACCTGGGAAATAAATATTTCAACGCATTTTATTAATTTGTGCTTTTTCAAATTTCTTGTGTTGTAATAAAAAGAAGCAAAATGCTAAAGAATGTGTTTGATTTATCTGTTATGACTTATTCTGCTTTATTAATAATATTTGAATTAATGAACCATAGTTTCTTGTTTCAAAAATTAATTGATTATGTAAAGTTGGTATTGGCAAGTCTAAGACAAAATTATTAAAGATCCAAAGTGAAATGGACAAATGTCGATTATCATGTTTAAATTCCTTCATAATTTTATTTTTATTTTGTGTAAAATACAACTCATTGTTAATTGGGTTTCGACATTAAAAATGTTCGTTTTTACTATTAAACTTAACTTCTTTCTAATTTATGTTTAATTATTATCTTTATTACTTTTCATTCTATTTCAATTCATGTAGAATCATTCATTAGTTTATTTATAATAAATAATATTAAAGGTTAAAATTATTCTTTCAAATTGTTTCACTCAATTTTAATTATATCTCCTTGTTTTGGTATTAAAAAGCGGATTTTGGCACCTATTTTAAATCAAATCTAGAAAAAAATTATTATCTTTATTTTAAAAAACTATAAATACAAGTAAAATAAAAATACTAATAATACTACTAAATGGCTTAACCATTCCAAAATGTTTTTCAACTTTAAAATTAAAAACAAATGTTTTTATTTTGGCAAACCCTTTTTTTTCAAACCAATGTTTTGTTTCAATAAACACATTTTTCACCAAAATATAATAAATGCCTTAAAACTATTTATATAATTAACCTTTTTATAGTTTTCTTTTAGTATAAATAAACCATATTATAAACATTGTCTTAAATACTGAAACCAGAAAGATACTATAAAAATACTAATTCATTTCTATTTGCAAATCACATCGAGTTGGTACATATTGAGAGGCTCTATTGATTGCTGGTGGTGGTGGTGGCATCATTGGCATTCCTGGAGCAATGGGTGGGTTGCTAAAATCGAATTGAAGAGCTGAAAAGGCGTTCCACATTTTTTCTAGTCGTGTTTCTATTTCAGTGAAAGGGGGTCTAAGACAAGCATCTGCCCAACATTCTTTGATCAAGTCACCCATTTCCTGGGGGAATGTACTTAGTATTGGGAGTCTATCTCCTTTTAAAACGAAGTCTGCGACGTCCCACGTATGAGAAAATTGTTGATATGGTATCTTCCTCAGAAACACTTCATAGCAGACAATTGCGAATGAATAGATATCAGTCTTCAAGTTATAAGGGAGATTCAACAGCATTTCTGGTGACATATAAATAGGTGTGCCAATTCCTCTCGTCATTGTGTTAGCAATATCATTCATCACAGCGGTTCTTGCAGTCCCGAAATCGGAGATTTTTGCATTTACTTTCTCTTGATTGTTCATTGAAACAACTAAGACGTTCTCGGGCTTCAAATCGCGATGCACCAAATTACTCCCATGAAGGAAGACCATTCCTCGAGCAACGTCTAACAGCATTTTCGTCATTAAAGTGTTTGAAAAATACGAACTTTCATACGCGCTCTTCAAAGACCCGAACTTAGCAAACTCAGTAACGATGGAGTAATGCTCGGGAGTGAATGAAGCACCTATGAAATTGATGATATAAGGACACCGCATTTTGTCCATCATCTCAACTTCCTTAATAAAGGATTCTAATACATCTTCAGGCCAACTGAAGGACTTTGTCTCTTTGATTGCGACATCAACACCTCGATAGACCCCTTTATACACTATTCCAAAGGAACCCTCCCCTATCACTTTCTCTTTTTGGAACTCGGTATAATCTAATGTAAGACTTGAACTGCTTTCTAAGACCAATTCTAAAGCTGCATGATCTCCAGTGGAAGACTCTCCCTTCCCCATATGAACTTGTACATCTATGATTTCATCTATAGAACATGTGCATAACATCGTCAGTTTCACACAGACTTTTTGTGTGATTCTTGGGGATAAGATCCCCATCTTAGGATCAAAGTGAATGGCATATCTATGATCTTCTCTGTCTAATGGATTGAAATTGAATGTGTAGTAATTCTTTGTTTTGTTAGTAATGTTTATTTCATGGGAAGTCTCCACGTTAATATTAAGTGGCATATCTTCACTCCCAAAAGTCAGTTTGGTGGTGTCAAACTCCAATGGGAAGTATTCAAATAGTGTGAAGTCGTAGTCGTAATTTTTGACAGAGAACGTCTGCTTCTTGTTCTTCCGAGGGATAGTGAATGTTATGATCAATATAGCTATTGTCACAATCACCAACACACCAAGAACAGCAACAACTACGGATACCACAATCACTAAAATATCCTTTTCTCCTTTTTCATAGGAGCATTTCCCGTCAATGAAATACATGTTCGAGTGACACAAACAATTTGTGACATTACAATACTCTTTATTCACACTTTTAATAGACACGGATATGTTGTCATAAATGTAATTCAGTTGTGGTACAGAAAGTCCTCCTAACCACACCGAATTTCTTGAAGAACAAACAGAGTATCCTGTATACCCATATGCTATTTTCCCTATGATGTGGATGAACTCAACAATTCGAGGAGTGTAACCCTTGTCTAAGATATTGTCAAAGAAGACATACGCACCTCCACAATGTGGCATATCTTTAGTACTATATCCTGGGGTACCTACTACTATTATTTGTCCATAAGATCCAATATTATCAAATGGTATATTTTTATAGGGTTTCACATATCCACTGTTTGACTCGCTATAAAATGGAATGTTGGTGATCTCCTCTTCCACAGAATAGTCTGTTGAAGCGTCAAATATCGCGACTTTGTTATACTTACTGACTGCTACATACAACACATTATTTCTTGTGAATCGAATTGGGTCGTATTGGTATGTTTCTGAAGGATTTAAATACTCCGCCATGGTGATTTTTTTGTGGAAGACAAATTCCCCATTTAAGTAATACCCGTCGTCAGTGACTTTTAATTGATATATTGTAATGTCCGTTTTGTTCTTCACTGCAATAAGATCCGAGCCAGATGTGACATACTCGCCACATGGAAATTGAGACGACACTTTTAAAGTCAATGTCTCTAATTTGACACCAGCAAGTGTGTAATCCACACATGTTATAAGTAAGTCAGTTTGTATAGTTTCATTTTGGAATAAAATATAACTGAGTGGAGAGTACTGTCCAATTTTTCCGTTAAGTGTTGAATTGATAAGTATCTCGGGAGGGTTAGTCTCCAAATCGTAGTATGACAATTTGCTGTCGTCCAACACAAATAAAGATTCTCTCATATCGACAATTTGAGGTCTGTGCATTCCATTGATTCGAATTTCCGCAGTTCTATTTTTGACAATGGAAAGCGTTGAGTCAAAAAATAACGTTTGGACGATGGTGTCATTGAGGTAGTAATACATCGGTAAGTTGTGTCGTTGTTCGCTTAGTTCGTTGTAACCGATATATGTTACAAATTGGTAATAGTCTTGATCAGCCTTAAATAAGTCAATGTCTTCAAAAGTCTCTGTTTCGAGTTTTGTCGGCGACGCCCAAGTAAAAACAACCACAAGAAATAAATTCAGAAGTGTTCTGAATGGCATATACAATGGTATTCAAAGATTCTTTCGATGTATTTCTTTGTTATATTTTTAAATATAAAGCAATTTGTTTTTTTTATATATTGCTATATTATATTGGTTCTCTTATTGGTAAATTGCCCTTTTTTATAGCAATATTTCTACGTTTTCAAATGATGTGTTAAAAAATAAAATCAATTCAATCCAGTTCTTCACTCTTTTGTTTTTCTGAATTCCTCGTTATTTTCGTCTAATTCTTCTTAAACTCGAAATAAATAAATATTTCCCTTCATTTGTTTAATTAAATAATGGCACAAATGATTTATTATAGATTTGTTATAATTTAGTATGGTTCTCTTTATAGTTCTTTGTTTTGCTGGGTAGATTTGGGAATCAATATTGTCGTTTGATGTATTTTAATACTATAAATAGTTGATTGTATAATAAATTTTATTAATTATTTATTTATAATTAAAAAAATACTAACGAATATTTTTTTTGTTAAGAAAAAAAATTCTAAAAAGACATAATACAAATAAATTATAAATTATAAAATTTGTTTTATTAATTGATTAACTAAAACACATTCCGAAATTACCTTATTGTTATTAGAACTTTTATTATTCTATTAATACACACTAAAAAGAACAAGTAAAATTTTAATTTGACCAATGATCTTAAAATACAAATAAAGCTTTAAATAAATAGATCCCAACCACCCGAATCCCGAAAATATAGTCTAGATAGAACCATAAATAATAAAAACCAGTGGGAAAAGAAAAGAGAAAAAATGAAAAACGATGAAAAAAAATCAAAATTCGCTTTTTATGGACAATGAACTGTAAAAAGGCCAACTTTAAAATATAATCTGGCGGTATGTCATTCCTCTCTTTTCTGTTCAAAAAGAAACAGATGAATTTGTTGGTCTGCGGCTTTGACGGTGTCGGCAAATCGTCGATGTTATTAAAAATGCAAAACATCGATCCAAAAGGTATCGAAGTGAAACCCACGACAGCATACGCAAACCCATCCCTTAAATACAAAACCTTCGAGTGGCTCTTTTGGGACGTTTCAGGCGCTCCAAAGTTTAGAGGTCTTTGGAAGAGTTATTATCCCAACGTCAAAGCAATAGCTTACGTATTCGACGCTTGCGACACAGAGCGTTATGATGACGCAAAGACTGCTTTGAAAAACATGATTAACGACGGTGAGCTTAAAAATATGCCGTTCCTTATATTTATCAACAAAAGTGACAAACAACAGGTAGACAGTCACGAGTTTCTCGATAAGCTCGAACTCACAGAAGGTCAAAAAAATAGGTGCCAGGCCTTCTCGTGCTCGGCGTTCACTGGCGACGGCCTTTTCGAGGGACTCGATTGGCTGTGTTACTACTTGAAGAAATCCGGTGTTTAAATGATCCTTCGTTCCTCTTTTGTTCTCATTTAATCACTCATCTTGTGATTATAATTATGGTTACCCCTTGTTTTCTTGTCATTAGTATTAGAATTTAAATATAATTATTTATAGTTAAAAATAGTACAATTTAGGGAGTTTGTATTCTGTTTTTTACTTGTTTTTTCTGAATATTTTCACATTGTTTTTAGACTAATAGACGGGTTTTTATAAATTATTTTTTCTATTTACAACAAACTGATTTTTGTAAATACACGTGTTGTATTATTACTATTATTTGTATAACACTTTTCCTAATTTGTCATTAACCACTGAAAATGCCATAACGTCAAATTAAAAAATAGTAACCCCAAATTAAAATAAACTATAAAAAAAAGGAATTCACTTTCGGTTTTTCAAACTGTTTTGGGAAAAAAGAAAACAGTTTATACTTCCAAAAAGTAAAAATGATAATTAAAGCGAGTTTTTTGTTCCAATTTATTGATTTGCCCAAGATAGAAAAAGGCAGAACGAGAAATAGGAAGAGGGACAAAAAATTAGGGGGGATAATGGGAAAATATAAAAATTTGAAGGTCAATGAGAGTAACAACTTGACAAAACCAGCGATGGCGACGGGCGCGCAAAAAAAACAGATCCTCAACACAATTCAAGAGTCCTTGCTTGATTTCTTGTCGCAACTCAACTGTATCACGTCGTGTTCCGACAAAGTTGAATCACCACTATTTAAGAAAAGATCCAGCCTTCGAGAGATAGCACAGGTGTGTGTTGTGTTGAAGGCAATACACGAAGCTGTACAAAGCGGAATCAGCATTACCAAAAGGCACATTTACTATTTGGAAAAGGACTTGTTTACGTGCCAGAATACAGTCGACAGGATCATAAAGAGACTCAGCAAGTACGTATTTAAAGCCCCCAAAGAGGCGTTTAACGTCATTGCAGCGCCTAAGGGATTTTTCAACGGGAATGTTGGGTTTGGGAAAAATCAGTCAAGCGCAACTACACGTCTCATTCCAACAGTTCCCTTTCTCGCCAACAATAGCGCAAACACCCATATAGCGGGTATTCTTGTCGTCGAAAAGTACACTGTCTTTGAGAAAATAGTTTCATCACATTGGTTTGCATCGATGAAAGGTGAAATCCTTGTCGTCACGGGTTGTGGATTTCCAGACACTGCAACTTGCGTCTTTGTCAGTACTATCTCAACGACAACAAAGTGCCCGGTTTACTGTTTGGTCGACTTTGATCCATGCGGGCTCGATATTTTTGCAAGTTACGTCGAAAAGTTGGGTGATGTTGTGGTGAAGCTTTTGTTATACAAACAAGTGAAAGGAGTATTTGACCAAATAAAAAACACACACAAGCTCCCGCTCAACGCCGGTGACGTTAACCGATTGCTCAGAATCAGAGCGGAAACAAATGACGACGAAGTCAAAAACGTTGTTGAGCTCCTTCTTGAAAACAATTGTAAAATTGAGATGGAGGCATTTTCGTCGACGGACGAGTCTATGCTGCTCACAGACTCGTTTCTTCCCTCATTGTTTCCACAATATCGGCAGAAAGTTGAGGAGTGAATTTCGTTGGTCAAGAGTTAATAATTGATTATTTATAGTTGAATGAACTATACATTAGTATTTTAAAGTTTGGTTCATACAACCCCGTTATGCCTCGAAAATATTTTATTTTTGCAAAGATTTAAAATAATTGGTATTTTATAGTATTTTTTTCTATTTTTCACTCAATAATTCATTTTATGCATAATTGGTTCATAGACTAATTCTTGTTTGTACTATTATTTATTATCGAAAAATTTATATTTTGAGGAATATCAGACTTTAATAAAAGCCAAATTGAAAGCAATTTTTAACACATGTTTTTCAACTGATAATATTATTAAATATATAGTAATTTTAATTAATTATATTAATTACTTTTATAATAGAAGTACACAAGACTCGTAATAGATAAAAGCCGGCAAACAAGAACAAAGATTCCTTTATTTAGAAATGGATTGTCACCAAACTTCCCGAGACAAAGGCAACAATTGCTATGTAGTGAAACTTGAAAACTGAACTTCAAAGTTGAGTAAAAAACTCCAAATAAAAATAGGTACATAATTGGGTCCACGTCACAATGGAGGTATGTATGTGTGAAGAACTGGATAATGCAATGTCGGACAACAAGTGCCCCACATGCGGAAAGCGTGTCTATTTCAACGAGAGACTCACCTTTGCTGGTCGTGACTATCACAAAATCGGCTGTTTCAAATGCACATCATGCCACAAGACCCTCGAAATTTCAAAAGCCAGAGAGTCGGACGGATTACCTTATTGTGTCAACTGCCATACTCAAAAACAGGGCTTAAAGGGTTTCCAACCAGGAAATGTATTGACCTCTTACACCGGATACGGTGGAGGAAGTGGATCAACTGATAACACTTCAGTTGTTGGTGGTAAGGTCGCAGAAGCCGCTGCTGCTGAAGACGCCGAACAAAGAAGAAATGCTCCAGCACAAAAGGTTGCTCCAAAGGCCGCTCCAGTTGCTGGTCCAAAGTTCTGCCCGAATTGTGGTGCGAAAAACAATGGTGGCAAATTCTGCCCAGAGTGTGGTGCTAAGTTCTAATTCGAAATTTTCATTTTTAACTATTTTGTCTCTTTTTATGGTTTTATTATTGTTTTATATAATTTTTCAACCCATTTTTAATTTGTTTATTATTTTTATAAGTATTTTTATATATATATAGTATTTTATATTTGTAATTTTGGGAAACCATTAATTATAATATATGAATATATAAAGATACTATAATAATAATCGAAAAAGGTTGTTGCACTTTCTATTCAAATAATATACAAATAATATAAAGAGTACTTTAAAAATGTCTTAATCTACAAAAAATAGGAAAGAGTTGTTTATTGAGAATATATGAGATTAAGATACAACAATCAAAATTTAAACTTTGTAATTCTATATAAAACTAATTATTATTAATACGATAATTATAATAATAAAATGACTTCTCGTAAAGAAAATGGTGGTTATTTTTATAGATTTGTACATAATTTGACTAATTAACTAATAATAATAATACTTTGTTATATTTAATAAAAAGAATTAAAATATGAAACACATAGAAGGAGAAGACAAGTATATAACAAATGCTAAATTTGTAGTAAAACTTCTTGTAAATAATAGAAAAATAACTGAATAAGTAAACTCGATTATGAGTATGAGAAAAACACGAACGACGTTCTCTGTGCCAAGAAAGACACAAGTAGTTGATATCGACGATAGTCACAAGGTTCGAGTTATTGTAAAAAATGGGGAGAAGTGGATTGGCTTGACATTTTCACCGGCAGGCACAACACAAATGATAATTGAATCTATCAAGGCTCAACATCTAGTCCCCGAGAATGAAGCTTTTACGTTTTGTTTGTTTAACCTTCCGTTCTACTTTAATCCGGAAGATCCAGTGTTTGTTGATTCATATTCATATATCTTTACTTTTCAAATAAAATTCGTTTAAAAAAAGATTTTACATTTCAAAAACAAAACATTTAACATAAAGTGCTGGAGGACAAATCTGGAAATTTTGTCTTGCGTATGGGTACCGAATTGTGACTACCATTCTCCCAACCAAATCTACTGAGAAGTTTCTCCATGTGTCCAAGTTCCTCGAGTTTTTAGAATCTACTAAGATTAATTTCTTTATAATAGGAAAAGAATACACAGCTATGTTAGCAACAATGCCTGATGAAAGTAGGGACTTTCGTGCGTCTCTTGCAAGGTTTGTCTTTATATTTTCGATCACAAGAAGAATTGGAATAATAAAAAGAGTTATTCAAGAAGAAGTTGAGTGGTCGGAAAATCATAGTGACAAAAGAACGATTGAAGAGAATGAATATGTCTATGTTGAGTCTGAACCGCCTATACCAAATAAAATGCAAAAAGTGAAGATCAATGGGAGGTATGGCAATGACTTGTCAATGAAGACAATTGCACAGTCATTGTCAGACACAGTATGTACTGTCATTAATTCATTGTACACAAAACTTTTCACAATGAAACCAACTCTCTTTGATGAAGGGTCGACTGCCAATGATTTTGTCCTTAAAGTGCGAGGCTCAAATGAATTTTTGGTGCCCAAGTTTGTTATATAACAAGACGAAATGTCAAGTATTAACAGAAAGGAAGAATGATGGGAGTGAATACACGTTGTGTGATTTTGATTACATTCGGCGATGTGTAGCACACAATGAACCGATTGACATAGTCTTGTACAAACGTTCCAAGATGTATCAGTATTTGTACGACCCCGAGAAATTAAAGATGTCAAAATATTTTCATATGTTTGTTGGCAACAATTATTGGGGGAAAACCGAGAAAATTTCGTTGTTTTTGAGTCAGCGTGGGGCGATGATCAACTTTGGGATTCAGATCATGGGGTGTGGGAAATTGAAAATGAAACCCAATGATCAGCGTTTTCTCTCTCGTATCTATTTTATCGCGTCATTACACTATGGCACTCGTATTTTATCAAAACCTGAATGTAGTGAAGTGATAGAAGTGATCGATGGGTTTGTTCAAATTAGTACCCCCATCACTATATTATTTGACATGTTATTATCAACATTACCTAAAGAAACGCGTCTTATTATTTCAGTGTATTACACTGAAGCACAACTTGGAAGTAAAGGTGGTGAAAATAGAGAACACGACATCTGTTTAAGTACTGTGAATTGCAAATTAGTCGATTACAATGGGTACTTCATGAAAGGGACATTCAATGTTGGGATGTGGGAAAATATCAACCCTAATCCATATGCAATGTGCTGCGAGAATAGTACTGGTCGGTGCAAGTTGATCTATCGAATGATTGAATTTGATAAGCCCGTGAAGATGGACACATTTATAGCTACCAAAGAGGAGCTCCGACGCACTCTCCAACAAACAAATAAATTACTTCCAGAACATAAAGACATGTACAAAGCAGCCGTAGAGGCAGACCCCCTTGTTTCTTTGACTGAGGAAGAAATTCGACTCCTTTGGATTTATAGAGGACTTGTAATGAATACAAAGCCTCGCGCTTTAGCAAGACTAGTGTCTGCTGTAGACTTTACAAAGCAAGACGAAGTCATTGAACTGCATAGACTCCTTGAAAGATGGCCTTTATTAGAACCAACACCTGCACTCGAACTCTTAGACTTTAGATTTCCTGATGAAAAGGTACGACTCTTTGCTTTGAAGTGTATAGACGCAATGAAAGACCATGAGCTTGTCGACTTTCTCCCACAACTTGTCCAAGCATTGAAATTTGAAATTCATCACCAGAGCTTCTTGGCCTTCTTCTTGTTGAGGCGTGCTCTCAGAAACAAAAACATAATCGGGCACCAATTCTTTTGGTTCTTAAAAGCAGAGATGCATGATAATAGAGTGGCTGAACGCTACGGAGTCTTGTTAGAGTCGTTTTTGAATGGGATTGAGGGGTACAAAACTGAACTGTACAACGAAGTGAATTTCCAAAACGAGTTGGTTGTCATCGCTAACGAAGTCAAAAACATCGCCGACCGCGAGGAACAAAAGGAATATTTGCGCAATGGACTTGTGAAGCTCAAATATCCCGAAGAGATGTCGCTTCCTTTAGACTCTCGATTCCGAGTCAAGAAGCCAGTGAAAAATTGTGGGAATGTATTCTCGTCGAAGAAGAAGCCACTAATGCTAGTTTTAGAAAACGTTGATCCGATTGGTAACAACATTACGGTCATTCAAAAAGTGGGAGACGACTTACGACAGGACGTATTAACTCTTCAAATGCTTCAACTGATGAATAACATATGGAAGTCGGCTGGACTTGATTTGAGAATGTTACCATATCGATGTATAGCTACTGGTGATGAAACTGGCATGCTTGAGTTGGTGCAAGACTCTGAAACATATGGGAAGATCATAGCAGATAATGAAGGTACCTTTAGAGTCTTTAAAGAGGATCTACTAACAAAGTGGTTGAAAGAACAATGCAGTCGCCCCGAGTCAAAAGTGACATTCGACCAAGCAGTCGAAAACTTTGTGTATTCATGTGCTGGCTATTGTGTTGCCACATACATCTTAGGCATTGGTGATCGACATAGTGATAATGTGATGATTAGAAAAGATGGCAAATTTTTTCATATCGACTTCGGACACTTTTTGGGCAACTTCAAATCGAAATTCGGCGTGAAAAGAGAGCGCACACCATTCAAATTTACTGGACACTTTGCACATGTGATGGGAGGACGAGGAGCTCCAAACTTCAAATTATTCGAAGACCTCTGCTTAAGAGCGTTTGCGTGTATAAGAAAACAAGGTTCACTTTTCATATACTTATTCAGACTCATGCTTGCGACTGGAATACCTGAATTACAAAGCGAGAAAGATATCGAGTACATGAGAAACATGTTCATGTTTGACAAAAAAGAAGATGAAGCAAGAGAGGAGTTCAGGCAGTTGATTTACAAGTGTCTAGACGCCAAGTCGCAGACTTTCAATGACTTGGTACATGATTATATGCACTATAAATAACAAAAGATGCTATTTATTAATAAATATAGATGTGTGACTTTATTAATAGAATATAATTACATTAACTAGAATTGCATAGCTCAGAGTTCTATAAATATATAACAAAAATATAGTTAATATATTATATTTTTTATTAGAATGAATATTTCTTGTCGAGTCTATTCTTTAAATAGAATGGACTTATTGTAAACAACGATGAACAGTGTAAAAACATATAAATGGATATGAAATTAATTTAACTTGTCAAACCCAATGTCAAATGAGACATTGATTGGCGATACGTTGTTGAAGATGCCCATCTTGTACTTGTCGTTGATGTACGTGAAGTCCAAGCTTGTTGGAGCGCCATAATATTCAATCAATTGTTGTAGGACTTCAGAATTTGAATTGGAGTCTTTAATACGGCAGCATTGACTGAGTTGAGTTGGTGTTGGGTTGTTGATGATGAGGGAAACTCTATTAATTATTTACCATTATAAAACACGATTAACAACAAACTGTGCTATTTCCGTATCAGTAAATACAAACGCCATTGACACAGTGGACTCGGATTGTGTCTCGAATACTTGTTTAAAGAACGAGAATGCGGAAGACTCGCTGTCGAACGTGTCGTACGGTAACTCCAACTTGGTCAAAATAGACTTGACCAGATCTGTTCTCCCAGATGTATTTTTGCCAAAGATATCAAACCAGAATTTCGTGAAAGTGGGTTCAGTAGCCGACATATCTTTCTCAATCAACGTTGAGAATTTCAAAGTACTAAACTCCTTTTCACACGCCGTGAAGACCTCCTTCATCTTCCCTTCTTCTATAAAACCAAGTGCTTCTTCAAGTAAAATATCACCACAAAAAGAATACCCAGCTTCAATCGCATTAGGTTCTTGCGTGACTTCCAAATAACTTCCAGAATTCAGCGGCATTATCATATTACCATATTTAGTCATTCTCTCCGTTTCTTTCTCTGAGCAGACAACACTTTTGAAGAAGTCTGAAGTGCCCTGTGACATGACTTCTTGTGGTCCAAATGCGTGGACGCAGATATGTTGTAAATCAGTTGACGTCCTGAGTTTATATGATAGAGTCTCTTCATCAACTAGATTCACAGCTAGTGGAATCGAACAGAGCCACAAATTGAAAGCGTCCAACTTATTTCCATTCAACGTGGATTTAAAGATGTCTCTGATATACCCCACATTGGTTTTCCCGTCGTACCTGAGCAACGCTCTTTGGTATGGATAACTGAAGTCCGAGTCTTCTTTGTTCTTCTTTACAACTCTTTCTTTTCTTTTCAAAGGACTTGGTTGCTCCGACTCAGTGTTTTCAGTCAGAGACTGTTCAGACAGTTGGCTTTGTTTATTTGAATTGTCCAATACTTGTTCGGACCTCGTGACTTGCGCGTGCTCAGATGATTTTTGTTGAGATTGTTTTTTCATTGCTTCTGCAGCAAGTGCTGCTTGCAATGGGTTAGCTCCAATCGGAATTTTTTTAGTTTTTGGGACGTGACTTTCTGTGGGTTCATCAAAGGTTACGACGGGTTGAAGAGATTTTGGAACAGCTTTGGGTGATGAATTCGCTTCGTTAGTTGCCTGTTTCGCTACAGAAAACGACGATATTGTTTTTCCGACTTTACTTAAAAAGTCGCTTAAAATGTCGATTGTTTCCACTTCGATTAGAAAGAGTCGGTCTTTGTTACTAAAAGATGAGTTTGTTGGCATTACACCTATAAATAACATTTTCTAAAATTATAATTTATTTAACTACAAATTAATAGTACGACGGAGTCGAACAAACTTCTTGTCTTTGGCTAAGATCCCCAGCATGAATTTCTGACCACTTGACTTATCAAGCACTTGTGACTCAGCAGTGAGCTCGATTTTGCCGACCTCCGACGAACTTGTTTCGCTTTCGAAATACCACAAGTTTTTATTTTTCAACACAAAGAACCGTTTCTTCCATGACTTCACACTACCACCCTCTTTTTTTCCCCATTGCGTCAAATCTGCAGGCATCAACGAACTTACACTCACACTCATTACAAATAGAACTGTATATTTCTTTTGAGTTCGATTGTTTTGATATATGGAGTTTAATATACCAATGTGTGTTTCTAATATACTATTATAATAGTATATTATCTAATTAAAAAGAAATAATACAGAATAGTAAATAAAGCTAGTAAAATAACCTTAGAGAGGTTGTGCGAAGAAACTTGAAAGAACTAGGGTAACATTCTGAGGTAATGGTTGTTGGACCAGTGGTCAAGCCCAAGATCGTCAAGAAGTACAGAGGTCACTTCAAAAGATTCGACTCGAACAGATTTCTCCGTGTGAAGCCCTCGTGGAGACACCCAAGAGGTATTGATAACAGAATGAGAAGAAGATACAAAGGCACTGGCCCAATGCCACGTATCGGCTATGGAAGTGACAAAAAGACTAGATTCATGCTCCCCTGCGGAATGTTCAAATTCACTGTCCACAACACAACAGAACTCGAGATGATCATGATGCAAAACAGAACCTATGCTGCTGAGATTCACCACGCCGTTTCCGCCAAGAAGAGAATGGAAATCGTCGCCAGAGCTAAGGTGTTGAATATTAGAGTCCTCAACGGTGATGCTAGAATCAAGAAACAAGAAGTTGCCAAGTGAAAGAATTGATGGTGAATTTGCTGGTTGGGTTACCCTTTTTACTATAACTCTATTAAATTTTACTATTCCAGTTTTGTTTTTTTACCCTTCTTCTATTGCGCTTATTATAGTAAAATTATTTATTATTATCATTATTGTAAATCATTTAATTTATAATAAATAAACTATTATTTTTAAGTTTTCTTTGACTATTTCTTACTATATTTATAATTAAATATACTAGCATATTATTCTTCAATAGATAGTACTTATAGTATAAACATATAGTACTCAATAGTATATTACTAGTTCTTTCTTGCGAGTAATTGAACACAAGAAAACACTCAAAAAAATCAATCACTTTTTCTTTCTCATTCTTTGTTCTGCCTTCTTCTGTCTCAACTCCTTCCCTTTCTTCTGTTCTTCGTGTCTGTCTTTCATCATTTTCTTCTTCAAAACTTCGTCTTTTGTCTTCGTGCTGAGTTGCTTGACGCCCTTTTCCTTGTCAATCTTTTTGTCTTGATTCTTTCGCCAGATTTTGTACTTCTCCTTGACTTGTTCCATCTCCGCTTCCTTCTTCTTCATTTCTCTTCTATGGTGCTCGAGCCCACCGGACGCCATGATGAATTTTTTCTTCTTTCTATCCCACATCTTTTCTCTGGCTTGTTGTTTCAAGTCTTGTTCTTCATCTGCAGCAATTTCTATAGCCAAGTCTAATGGATTCTTAGTGGAGTATACAATTCTATCGCTTGAATTATCAAAGATAGAATGTTTGACTGGCCCTGTGGATATATACCCTGGCGCTTTCTCCTTTTCTTCTTCATTCTTCTTAATGGCATCAAGTTCTGCCATCCGTTCCTTTTTCTCTTTTGCCCTCCTAATGGCCTCTGCTATTTTTGGGTTGTTGGCAAGCTTTTTCACAACATCTGCTTGTTTCTGTGTCTCCTTTGTTGTATCAATTTGGAATATCGAAGCTTTGGGTCGGTAATTCTTGATCCCAGTAAGCCATTCCATTCGATTTTTGTCATCACCAGTCATATTAAATGATGGGTGAATACCATCAAAGTTCATGTCCTTCGACTTTCTTACACCTTCAGAACTTGCACTGGGTTTACTCTTTCTATAAGCCGACATCGAATTTGTTGCGCCAATTTTCAAGTAATTCAAGTCGTAATTGGCATCAAGTAACTGATCCAAGCGTGATAAGACTGGGTCAACATATTCACGAGGAACATTTCCAATTGGAACTTCTTTATCCATTGCGAAAACCTCAAGATCTTTGAGGTATCCCATCTCCTCTGTCTGGACAAAATTGTAACACGTACCAATCCGCCCTGCACGAGCAACACGACCACATCTGTGAATATACAATTTAGCAGATGAAGGGAAGTCATAGTTAATAACATTGTCGAGATTGGGTATATCCACACCACGAGCCGCAACATCAGTTACAAACATTATTTTGTTCTCATCGTTTCTGAACTTTTTCAAGTTGATTTCTCTGTCTTGTTGATCTGCCTTTCCAAACAGAATTGACGAATTAACTTTGTACTGTTTAAGCAAAGCGCCCAAATATTCAACTTCGTGCCTTGTCGCACAAAAGATGACAGTTTGTTCTTCTTTTGGTATTTTCTCAAGCAAAAGCCACAGCAAATGGCCGTCCTTTTCAACTTCTTTCACGTGATAGAAAATGTTTTCCAAGTCGGGTGAAAGTTTATCTTCCGTATCAAGTCGAATGATCTCTGGGCGTTTTAAAGTTTTCTTAAGGAAGACTCCTAAACTTTGTGGGATGGTAGCACTGAACAACAGAAATTGTCGCGAGAGGGGTAATAACCTCACAATATCAGAAATTTGTTCGGAGAACCCTTGCTCAAACATCATATCAGCTTCATCAAAGCATACGATGTCAACTCGTTGTAATGAGATATTCGCACTTTCCAAAATGAAAGTTAATCGTCCGGGAGTTGCTACTATAATGTCAGGGTTTTTCTCAAGGTTTTCAAATTGTTCGTACAACTTACTTCCTCCAATGATAAGAGACGCTCGCAAATTGGTTTTAAACGTCAATTCATTGAACACTTTGACGGTTTGTAGCGCCAATTCACGTGTCGGACATATCACTATCGAACGAACACCATCCTCGCTATGAAACCCTAATTTTTCAATTATTGGAACTAAATACGCTGCTGTCTTACCCGAACCTGTACGCGCCATTGCAATCACATCGACTCCAGTCATAATCGCTGGAATAGCTTTTCTTTGAATTGGTGTCGGTACTTTAAATCCCTTGTGTAAGATGCCCTGCAACACATGCTTTGAAAGGCCCATACTCTGAAAGCCTCCAGTGGACTTACTCTTCTTTTTCTCTATCTCCATATACTATTTAACGATGGTGTTATACAAATAGGGTTTTTCTTTCATTTGAATGAACTCGATAGGTTCAAAATGAAAGATCCGAATGATGCTAATTTATATAGTTTCTCTATAATATATATAATTATACGGTTCATAGTATAATTATAATATATTATAGTTATAATTATATAACAACTAACTAATTGTATAGTAAAAAAAAGTTAAATGGATATACGTGGCGAAACCTCATTGTGAAGACTTATTTTATGAACGAACTATAACTTTATAGTTTATATGGAAAAGCAATTAGTGGAAGTTTCAGTTGCAAAGAGTTCAGAGAGTTGTGTGATTGGACAAAAAGAAACAGATTTGGCGTTGGAAGCGTTAGGAAATGTCATTCGGTATTTGGCCAATTTCAAAGAAGCCGAGACATTTGCGCAAATCAGTAAAAAATGCGGAAACGCACTGAACTTTGTATTTAGAAGTCCTAATTACTCTGCTCCACAAATCAATTTGAAGTACCCAAGAAATGTGTTTTGGCAACAAAAGTCGTTTGCTCGAGAACTCTCGTTGTTCCCGAAGTTAAGGGTATTTGATATATACGGGAACGCACCGCAAATGCAACTTGTAATGGCAACCAACAAAGACGTACAAATAGCTGCAAAGTCGTACAAAATGAAAAACGAGTTGCCCGATATCGATAAAGATGAGAAGAAGCGATTCATAGAACTATGGTTCTGTGGGGATGACCCACTGAAGTTGATCCAATTCAAGAATCTTCAGAAAGCAAAAATTAGACTCTTGAAAGATCAAAAAGTCTGCAAATTTGTATTGAAGAAACAGCAACTTGAAGTACTCCATGTTATATTCACCGATGGTGTTGATGACACATTTCTTTCAAAGATTAAAGAGTATCATATCAACAAATTAGTTATAGAATGTGAGAAAAAAGAGGATCTGGAACATGTCTTATCCCAACTCGAATTATTCAAACCACCAACAAATATGATAGTATGCAGTACAGATGATATAAATAACTCAAATGTTCTTATTATTCCGAAACGAATTGAAAAGGTTGAAGAAGTCGAAGAGGTGACGGGTGAGAGAATTGTCGAAGAAATGGATGACAAAAATGTTTCAAATTATACAAACGAATTTGCACTAAAAGTTATGAAGTTACAAGCGAATGCGGAGTTTCATCTTAAAAGTCTTAATGTCATGAGACTGAATTTGGTTGATTGTTGCATTGATACAGCAGTTGACTTGAACGACTTTTATCCACGAAATTTGATGGACTTGACTTGTAAAGAATGTGCATTACCTCTTGTTTCTACTACACTCAAAAAGGTGACTATACAAGAAGCAACACAGAAACTGGATCTTTCCAAGTTATCGATTTTAGAAGAATGTGTATTGGACAAATGTAAAGTGACGAACGACAAAGACTATTTAATACTTCCAAGAAAGTGCAAATTGTTGACAATGAAACGACCCGAAGGCAGTGAAGTCAATTTAGAAGTGTTGAACAGTGTTGACGAGTTGATATTAGATAGTGTTGAAAAGATCCAAATCACCCTTCCGCAGTATTTGCTTTGTTTGATTATATACAAATCAAGGTATTTTTCATTAACAAATGCGGAAAAGGTCCATATGAAGCGGCTTGCTCTTGTGAAGAGTGAATTAGTCTTTTTCGACATCAACAAAGTCGTTGAAGATTTGGATCAAGTTGTTTTCAAATAAATTGAGAATTGTTTATTTATAGTTAAAAAGATACTATTATATAAATAGAATAATAAGTTCGACAATAATTGTATTGTTTCTCTCTTGAAAACTGAAAAAAATTTTCAATGGCGACCTTGTCGGTTCTCTACTTGTGTCAAGTCTTTTCTTATGTAGAGACCGAAACGTTACGAATTGCAATTTTCATCAACAAAAAGTGTTATAAAGTGTTACAACATACACTACAAACCCTTACAAATGATATCAATCTTCCGAAAATTGTTCATTCCTGTTCATCCCTCTGCATCGTCCCAACACGAATTAATGGAGACGTTTCTAACTCTACGTTCACTAAATTCGACTACAAAACACTCGAACATATCAAGAATGATATCAATGTAAGAACCCTCATCTTTTCTTTCGATGCTACAACAGACTACCACTTTTTCTCAACAGTCATGAACTTAATCCCTTTAAACCGTTTAAACAGACTCGAGTTTGGAACATGCGACGTGGGCTCAGACTGTATAAAAATGTCTGCACAAAAGATTTCAAAGACACAAAACTGTTTGAAAGAACTCAATTTTTGGAGAGACCCTGGCCTTCTTGGGAGAAACAGTTCGCAAAATGAAATCGAGGCGATTAGTAAATTGACGCAACTGGAGGTGATGAGGTGCTTTGCTTGGTCAAACACATTCACATCACTTGTCAATATATCATCGCTTAACTTGCATTTTAAAGACGATTTTAATAGGTTTGTCGATGATTTTGTGACACTAAAGAACCTTCGGATTTTGACGGTCCGGTCGCAGAATTTAAAGACTTATGTGTCGATATCAAGAGTCGTTGAAATCACTCAACTGACTACACTCGACATCGTTCGAACACAAATTGTGAAAGATCCAGAAATCTTACGGCTGAGTGCTTGTACCAATCTTAAAAATGTCATAGTCTATATGATAGAAAGTGTGTCTGATGAGGTCTCAAGACTCTACCAATTCTTCCCTCAATTTTCATTTCAACTTCAATTGTATTCTGTTCCCCTCGATGGCCACAAATTTCCTAAATTCAAAGAAACAAATGAAAGTCCCAGTCCAAAAAATTTGACACCATTTCACTTGACATTATTTCAAAGAGAATTCACTCCAAAATTTGCAAGGACTTTCTTTAATAAATTCAAACAATGGCCACCTAATCTCTATTTCAAAAGTTATAATATATTCAATTTAAGTACGTTAAGTAGGGGAAAGGGTTTGGCAGAGACTTTAATGAGACTCGAATTACATTTTATTACTAATTTGCAAAATATCAACTCAGTGAACTCATTTCTATTTCTTACAGCACTGTCAATTAGACATTGCTCAATACAACAAACTGAAATTATCGAATTGACAAATTTGCACTTTTTGAAACGGTTTGGAGTGACGGACTCTAATGTGATCGACTTAATCCAATTATCGTGTCTCACCTCGTTAACTTCATTCACACTAAAAAATGAAGAACACTTCACTAATTTATTACACCACTTTGCATTACTCCCAAACTTGAAACAAATCTGCTTGAATAACATCACAACGGTAGAAATGGAAGACGTCGTCTCTCTTGCAGAATTGACACAAATAAAGCATTTCACATTCGACAGAAATTCGATATTTGAAAACAATCACAAACTCTTTGCAACGCCATTTCGGACTGTGGCGTTTGTCACTCCTCAATAGATTCTATTTTTTGTATACTTTATGTTAAACTATTCAGATGTGTTGTTTTATAATTTTAGTTTCTTAATAAATCAAACAATTCTTAAATTAATTAATAACTAATTAATAACTAAACAAGACACTCCAATTAGATACTTAATTAGTCACGTAAAGGTTCTTAAAGTTCTCCAAATCCACGGTCTTTTGTGTTGTACGTGTTATACAAGCACAAAAACTTCTTGATTGTGTTCTTAACACTTTCTTTAGTTTTTGGTCGTGCCTAGTGGTGAGTATTGTTTTGAACTATTAAGAGATTGATAACAAACTAATATTTCATGGAGTGTCTCGTCGAATGAATAAGTCTCTAAAACACAAACAATGTTTGTGCCATTTTCATAATACAATTCTATGAGATCGCCAATTACTTTTAATAACGAATTTAAGAGGAATGAGTCATTATTCATAGTCTTAAATATATATACAAGGGTTTCGAATAGATTTGGACACTTCGTTACTATCAAATTAACTAACTCGCCACCTGTGCCATATAAAGAATTGGTAATGACAAATGCCATCTCTATTCTCAATTTATACCCATTTCTTTCATTTGAAACTTGGTCACATGCGATTTGTAATATTTGTGTTGTACTCACAAGTACTTCGATTGGGGAAGGGTCCGGATTCCCAATCAAATTCGAAACACAGTTAAACGCCTTTTTCATTGTTTTTGGCGTTGCTGAGTGGATGATTTTCTCAAGATACCCAAAAATGCCATCTGCGACTAACATTGAAATGTACTTTCCGTCTTCGTTGTTGTACGACACGTTGATAAAAAAACTAACACAAGAGTAAGCACAAGAAGGCTCAACAATCACCGAAAACACTAATTTGAAGATTTGCTCAGTAAATAAGAATTGACTGTACTTCTCCCATTCACAGAGAAATACAAGACACCACACGGCATCATCGACTACATTGGTATTATAACAATTTTTGTTCTGTAATATGGTACATACAAATTGAATGATTCGTGTGATATCAAGAGCAACATCAAATAGATTCGAGTTGCAAATATTCGAGACAAACCAAATGGAAGTTGCGATGATGTCTTGGGTTGGCATTCGAGTGACAAGATTCAAGACTTTGTCGCATATCCCAACCGACAAAAACTGTTTCTTGATCGTTTGTGAGTCTGTAAAACAATTTGAAATCAGCCAAAGTCCGTTTTTGACGACGTCCTCTTCGTTCAATGAGAACATCCAATCAAGTGCATTGATGAGACCCAACGATATAAAATGTTTTGTTATTTCTTCTGTGTTTTTGCTTGATACGGAATTGGAGCAGATTCTTAGAAATTGCGAGAGAATTGGAGAGGAAAGAGTTTGAAGGGTAGTGAACCCACGTGAATAAAATCCAATTGATATTAAGTCAAATACATACTTCGAGTCGAGGTTTACACAGTCGAGAAGAATGTCCATTGAATCGGTGTTACCAGATAACCCAGTCTCTGCGTAATTAATGAGTTGTTCTGGGGTTGGGAGTGTCGTGAGTTTGGCGTGTGATGGTTTGAGGGATGGAATATTTCGTTTTGAGCGTAATAACTCTTGGCGTCGACTTGTTCGAAGTTCTGATAATTCGCCTTGAAAATTTTTGCATAAGGAATTGAGTGGTTGTTGTGACTTCCTTAGGTCTGACATGTACTAGAAATTTTTTATTGTATATAATTTGTTGTTTTATTTTAATTAATAAATTAATTAATAATGTTATAAAAACTGTTTATAATTAAAAACTAGTAATTTTTTTTATTTTATAGTATTAATAATGATTTGTAATTAGTTAGTTTATTATAACAAAAATATAGTAAAAATTATTATTATATTTTTTGTTTTAAAAATCAAAACTGTGATGATTTTAATTAAATTAAAATGAACCATAGGTGTATAGTAATATTTTGATAAAAATATTATTTCAGTTATAATAATTATTCCAATGATAAAAAAAACAATTGTTGGAAGACTTCAACTTTTTTTATTTGTTTTCGTAAAAAAATGGAATCATTCAAAAAAAAAATTAAAAAAACTCAACAGATCCCGTATTTTGTGGTTTAAAACTCCCGCTAAAACATTGTTTTCTCAACGATATAAATAGAGAAAATCGCCTTAAAAAAGAAACTCAAAAAAAAAATAAAAACTAAAAAAATAACGAAACTATAAGTAAAATGGAGTGTATTGCACAAAAACGATATCCCCTCAAAACGCTTGAAATTGACAGGTCGAGCTATACGGTTTTAGCAGTTTGCCAAAGTCTTGAACAAAACGAAACCAACGACGAATGTATTGCCCCTACCCGTCATACCATGACGGAGCACATTTACAACGACCCAACGAGGCTTAAACTTCAAAAAGAAGCGATAGAAAGCTCTATCGGGAAAATGTACATGTTCGATAAATACATCCGAATAGAGTCATGGGTTAAAAGCGCTGGTGAAGGTTGCATTTATCCACATCCTTCTCTTTTGTAAATGTATTATTTATTTTGTTATTGAAAATGTTTTTTCCTTTTCAAGTTTTAAGATGGAAACTCTGAAAAAAGACCTAAATGCCAAAAGACAAGAAGATTGAAATGAGCGAATCGTCGAGCTCAAGTGAGTCCTCATCATCGAGCGATTCAACCTCGTCCTCCGATTCTTCAGTTTCATCAAAATCAACGAACACCTCGACAAACCCTAGTCAAGTGAGTGAAAAAGATCAAAAAGCCGAAACGAAAAAACAGATGAGCGAAGATTCCTCGAGTGATTCTTCAAGTGATTCATCAAGTGATGAGTCAGAAAATGTCACAAAGAAAGCAATGAGCGAAGACACGGATGACAGTGAAGAAGAAAAATCCGAACATGAGACTCAAAAAGACAACGCTGAGAATGCAACGGAGAAAGGAGAACAGTTTGTTAAAGAGCTTGTGAAGGATTTCGGAGACGAGATCAATGATATCCGTCTTGAAGCTGCTAAGGTTCAAGCAATTAATTTAGAAGAATTCATATCAGTATTGAAAGGTGGTGTCGACCTCTTCTCAGACGTCGAGATGGAATTGCTTGGGAAGAAAATGCTCGAGACAAAAACTGACGAAAAAACTGATTGATTGCTTTTTGTTATTGAAATGTTATTTTCGGTGCATTGGAACCAATTGATTTATAAAATGTTATTCAAATGATATTGGAGAACAAAGAAAAAGACAAAACAAACTCAGTTCTTTAGAAATGGAAGAGAAGTTTACAACGCAACAACCATTTGAAATGCAAAATTTTTCACAAATGGATTTCAACCACGGGTCGGACACTTACACGGCAAAGATAGAAGATACCGCTTCGAAGATCAGAATGTATATCCGACCACGTCGAGAATTTTCCGTTGGAAGCGCGAAGATATGTACGATGGTTTTATCACCTTCAGCCCCTGAGTATGTGTTGTTGTTTCAATGTAACACCCGTGCCGAACTTGATGTGATACCCATAGACAATAACATTGAGGTGAAGTTGAACGGTGTTGTTATCACAACGAAACAGCGTGTGAACAATTTTGGCTTGATTAGTGTGTGTGGACTCAATTTTAGATATGTGACTTTCTTCGAAGATATTGTTATACAACAACTCAATTACGCCGTTTGTTGATTTGCATCTCTCTGTGTATAATATAGTATTGAAATGAGGTTAATAACTGATTTGAAGGAAGATACGATGGCAGACTTAGTGAAAGTGACGGAGTGCCGATACTTAAATAACCCAAAATTTAAAAAGCCGGAGTACGCAAAATATTTCGAAGTGAATAAACCTATCGATGTGGTGTATGACACACTGAGAGAGCTTGCAAAACATATCACAGACAACGATGAGGAATTGATTGGATTGATCCGCCAGGCTCAGAGCCACTTGACTTCACTCTGTCAAGCAGAAAATGGGGGCAACTGTATGAACTATGACGCATTGACACATAACATGACGGGTGAAATCGCGAAAACGCCAACGAGAAAACTAGATTTCGACACATTCACTGACAAAGATCCGTATGATAAGTTCAGGAAATGTGGGTTGAGTTCAGGCAGTAAGTGAATGTGTGAGTGATGGTTCTGTGTTTGACAAGAAAGTAAATAATAATATCTTAGTCTTAATATGTGAGTGTCACTTGTGCTTTTCAATCTGCTCAGCAATGAGGAAGTATATCGACATCCCAAGAAATATGAAAGACAGGACAAAGAGCACAGCAGACACATAGTAGTTCCCAAATACCTTGACTATCAGTTAGTAATCTATTTCTATAATTATACTACAATATATTATAATTAAACCATTATGAGTTAGTAGTTATTAATAGAGAATTGTCCACAAACAAGAATATGGTGTCTTCTCACTGCCTTTACCATAAAACTTCCGATCTTTGAAAATTGAGAGTATTTCCACGAGAGAGGGGATGGTAAAAGCAAGGAAAAGAGCTAATAATCCAGAAATGTCAAATATGATTTGTAGAGACCCCACTGCACAGGCAAATAAAATACCAGGAACGAATGCAAGAAGCTTGCAAAATACTTTTGTCCATTTAGGATGACCAGTTGAAAATTTCTTAGTAAAACAATTGCGCAAATTAGAGGAGAGCGCCGTTGCCATCAATGGGTATGAGTTACACAAATTGATAACTGGAAACAAGAGAACCATGTATTGTATTGGATAGGCATACCAAGCAGTTGAACCAGAACCCCACCCACCATCACGGCCGTTATATTTAGACCATTTGTTGGTTATTGGCGACACGACAGTCTCTCCAAAAGTCCAAGAACAGATTAACCCTACCAAAAAGTAAAAGATAGCACTCACTATCATCGCTCCACTTGTCGTCCAAAAGACAAACTTCTTATTGTTCACAGGAGTCACTGCGTCTGGAATTAAATGGTGACAAGTTAGTGCAAATGCAGTGTGTGTAAACATGGTCCCAAATCCAACAAATTTGAACTTGTAGAGAAAAGTGGTATCAGTGCCAATAGGTCCTCCAATACTCAATTGTACAACACACGTGACCAACATAATGCCAAACGTAAAAAATCTATAGAACGTCAAGATCATCTGAAGTTTACCTTGTTTTGACAAATCAACAAAACTGAGAGATAGAACGATAACAGAGTAGAGTATCAAACACGTATAATATGACAATTGACACTCCCACTTGCCACTTTTGTCGACACAACGATCTGGTTCTCCGTATACCATCCAGAATATAGTGGAGAGTGTACTTGTGGCCGTTGCAACATAAGCCCTATCAATTATTATATGTTGTGTATATTAATATATATTCTTTATGTATTCATACAATATAGAATTACAAACCATAACCCACCATAGATGTATAACACCATACACGCAAAATTAAACCACTTAAAAGGCTGTCCACCCCATTGATACCCAAGTGCAGTTATGTCAAACAGCCGATACTTGATTTCATTCACTGGAGTCACTTCAAAGTCATTTTCAGCACCAGTCTCCTTCAGTTCTTCTTTCCCTTCAGACCTTGCCATCCCTTCCAACAAGTAATTCATTGTGATCACATTGAGAACAAAGAAGATGAATAAAGAAATGCCGGATAAAGGTATACCCGCACTATAAAAACCTAAAGGTATACCAAAGACACCTGTACCAACTCCCCGTCATCATTGTACATTTTATATGCAACTAGAAAAACAAACTAATGGAATTCACAACAGTGGCAAACCCAGCACCCAACGAGTAACTATTCGCTTCAGCCTTGACTTCTTTGTTGTCGATACCACTTACAATCCCTTGTGTCTCTGTTGGCTCGGATACACCCTCTTTTTGTAGAGAATCAGTACTTTCTGGAAGAACAGTTTCGTCTTGCACAACGCCTTCCTCTTGTAATTCGACATCTTCCAGTGAACTTTCCTTACGCTCTTCCATTCGAAAAACTGAAATGAATTAGTGATTTGGAGTTCAAATTCTCGGTGTGTCTTCTGTTCATCAACAGAGTCGAATCCATTTTCTTCTGAAACCCCCAAGTATGTTCTATACATTATAGTTAAGCCCGTTATAAATTATTATTAGTAGAGCAATAGAAAAACAACAAGAGGGTACAATCTGATTACATTTTATTTATTGTGTGAGGTCGATGACTATGACAGAAATGTTGTCTTTGCTTTCCTTGTCAAATGCGACGTTTCTAATGACACGTGCCGTCTCCCCTGGCGATACACTGTCGCTCATGAGTTGTTGTATTGCGGACTCTCTATATGTAAGCATCAGTGATATTTAAAAAGCTCCTTTGAACTGAAACAATAATAATGAAACAAACTGCAGCACTGAAATTCCATCTGTTGCGATCAAAATCCTCTGTATCTGATTTAAAGGCAAAATAAAAGTGTCAGGAATACATGTAAGAGGAGGGTGAAGCGCTTTATCCCCAATCGATCGGGTGACCGCTATTTGTTCATTGACTCGAAGTAACCCATCAAAGTCAGCTATCCTTCCTCCACTCTCTATAACTCTCTTATACTCTTCCGGGTCTTCAGGGTTATGATCCTTCCCAATTCTTTTGAGTTTTCCCTCAAAGAGTACATACACTGGGGAGTCTCCAATTAAACTGATAATGCAGTCACTTTCTCTCACAATAACAACAGACGCTGTTGTTCCACTTTCTGATGTTTCACAGATCCTTCTATGTAATTCGGAAAATACATTCTTCATGTGTTCGGAGCATCCAGCACCTTTAATTTCTTTTTCATCAATTAGAGTGTGACATACAGACATCGAACTGATAGCCGCACCATCGCCATTATGCCCATCAAAAACACCGTAATAATCAATCCCTTCAAATAGCGCCCCGCTTATCATCAAAGTATCTTCCATGGCAACTCTCTTGCCCACAGTCTGCGACGCACCCGAGCTAAATCTCCCTGGTTTGAAACTCACGTTCTTGTTGTTACTTTGCTCACCAAAAACAAATTTCAAAAATATACTATATGAAACTATACTTTATAGTAAAACCCAAGAAACAACAAACGTGGAGCAAAGGGTCCGTATCGTCGTCGTCGAAACTCTGCCCGCTTTGGATCCTTTCCATCGGGCCTCCTTTTTTGATGGAATACGCTGATGAGAGTTTTGGTAAAACGATGTTTCCGGACATCGTTCTGTTGTCGATGAAGACGGGACGGTCCTGTGCGTAAAATGACTTCTTTCTTGTATCAGCTGAACGGACCCTCCGTTTAATTGGGTTAGTGGGTTTGTCATGTGTTTGTTCTTGTGGGCAAGTTGTTTGAAGAGTGATAGTAGCCATTGGATTCCTAGTGTATCTTGTGTTAATTTTTTTAGGGGGTTTCTTGTTGATTAAATCTCTTTTCTCGAAATAATAGAATTTTGTTGGAAAAGATGACGGTCTATTCCTTCTTATTTAAAGGGTGATGGACCGTCTATTTATATATTTCTCTTTTTGTTCGAGGCAATGCATACAATGGGTTTGTTGGAGTGTGAAATCAAAGAAACTTATGAGGAAAAAGACCTAAGCAATTTTTTGAAAGATTTTTATTTTCAAGTTTTTATCTTTTGATAAATATTTGTATTCGACTTGGATTTTCTAGAATTGGATCGACAGAATAAAAAAAAATAACCTTTTCGGCGTTGATTTTTTGGAGTTTTGAGAATTCCAATTCGCTTCAATTCATTGGAGAAAATTCTCATGGTGGGACTTTTCTCACAAAAATGAAACGATCTTAAGCAATTCAGTCCTCATTGAGGGAAAAATGAAGGGGTCTTTGGGAGAGAAAACATCAAACGTGAAAAACATAGAAAAGTCAACTTAGTTGTTGAATTGTTGGCTTTCTGTGTCGACTGTTGGGGCGCGTTTCTCCTCACTTCTTTGAGTCATGAAAACGCAAACCCCACCCACAGCAATCACTGCCAAAACAAGGGACAGCAATGCATATCCAATGGCTTCACTGATTAACGAAACAAGAATATAGACAATCGTGGCAATACCGTGGATGAATGAGGGATCGATTTTTGTTTTGTCAATAAAGGACGGGTTCGACTGTAACAAAGCTTTGTATGTGAGTAAGACGGCAACAAACAAAAACAGTCCAAAGTACAATTGTGGCTGGAAAAGAGCGACAATGCATGCGGCAAGTAACCCCAAGCATGTCAAAACAAGGGGATGTGTTGGAATGTTTTTCATAAGTCTATCTTTAACTACGTCTGCATTATCAGGTACAGAGAAACTAGACGTTGTAATGTCCGTAATCTCGGCTTGCGCCTGCTTCACTAAGTCCCCAAGGTATGTCCCAAAGTCAAATCCCATTTAATTTTCAAGATCACATCATTGTTATCTTCAAATAATATCTTTTAATGTTTGTTTTGTGGTACAAAAAGATAGAAGAGATCTTGTTCTATCTCGAAATGAGGTATCAAATCTAATAAAGATCACATTGTGTCTTTAAAACTTTATTTAATAAACTACAATAAATGGTTCAAAACTATTAGTTATTAATTAATAATAGTAAAGTGTATTAATTTGAGCAAAAAAAACATAAACTTATTATTTCAACCTTCAATTAGTTTTATTAATAGTTTTTTATTTAATCGTCTTATTGAATTAATAAATAATTAGTATTATATAATAAATATACAATATATATATCTATTCCTGAAAATAATAAAATTAATAATAGAAATACTATCAAATCCATATTAAACTTTTAAGAGTTTACTTGTTTATACGAATTTCTGCTGCATTCCATTTATCGATCTGTTTGTCATAATCAGTCTTTTCTTCTTCACTTGATTTCAATTTTTTAATGTTCTCCAGTTTTTGAATAACTTCAAGTTCTTCTTTTGTGAGTACCATGTTCTCTTTTTCACACTTTTTGAGTAACGGTTGGAGTGTTGTATCCGCCCACTTTCTCTTGACCACATTATTCATTAATTCATCGTTTAACAAGTCAATCTTCTTATGAAAGAAATCTTCAAACTTAGCCACCCTTTCTTCTTCTTTTGCTTTTGTAACTTCTTTAACCCTTTTGTCAATGTCTTCGATCATTTGTGAAACAGACTTCCCAAATACAAAAGGGTCTTCGCTGAGCACCCCCGACAATTCCCTCAACACCTTTTCTTGATCTTCGTACTTCTTTTTGAATTCACATTTTTTGTATATCTGGAGCTTCTCAATCAATTCCAATTTACTTATAACATTCTCCCTTTCGTCGATAACTTTCAGCAAATCCGCGACTATACCCTCATATTGTTCTTGTGTCTTATCGGTGATATATTCTTTCTATCAATAAATACTATAATTTATAGTTTTCATATTTAAAAGTATAGTTATCCCAAACCTCGATGAGTTCTTTCAGTTTTCGACAGGTCCTAGTCCAGTATCCATTTCTGTTTACAGACGTCCCGAGTACGCCGAGTATTTTTGTGACTTCTTTGTCACTCACTTCCCTTGTTTTATTTATTGATGACATTTCTCCCCGTTTCATGTTGCCAAGAGCTTTCAATTTAAAGTTGTGTGAAACAAAAAGAAAAACATTTTGGTTACAACATTTCTTGTATTTTTGGTGGTAAAGGTGGTTTTGGTTTAGTTGATGTAGTCATCTCCTTTTCTTTTGGGGGGAGAGGCGGTCTTTCTTTGAATTCGCTTTCGTTCATCTTTTTGGGGAGAGCTGGTGGTGATCTTTTTGGTGGTTCCAATTTAGGGTTTTGAAGTGAACGGACAAGCTCCTCACTCTTTTTTGGGAGCATTGGTGGTTCTTTTGGAGGGGGTATCATCTTCTTTGGGAGTGTAGGTTTCTGTCGTTGTGAGTAGGTCAATTGAGCATTTTTATAACTCTCCACACATCTAAGAGCCATAGTAGTATCAAAGAAGAGTTCAATGTTTTCTTTATACGGCTCAATTGTTTTATCAAGGGGAGGACATAGTGGTAAACGGACTTTCCCTTCTTTAATGAGTGTGTTTGAAATCGGTGTTTTTTCAATTTCCTTGTGGGTGTTTTGTTGTATTTGTTCATTTTGTGAAATTGGTAACAGTTCTCCACCACCATGTTCCTTTGTTTCGACTTGTTCTATTTTGTCGCCATTTTCTTCTGTTGGCGAGTCGACTGTTTTTAATTCAACGACTTTTTGTTTCTCTTTTTCTTCATTACTGAGTTGAACGAGTTCTTCTTCTTTTGTTTCGATAGTGTCAACGTGATGATTATCGTGATTCTCGATCACATCACTATTAGTAATCGCGTCTTTTTGAAGTTCTTTATTTTCGCTTGTGACTTCAGTTGAATGAACTTCGACTTTTTCAAAATTTTTTGTTTTTTGAGGGAGTGGTGGGGGCTGAGTGTCCTTTTTAATTTCAACTTTCTCTTCTTTTCCCAAATCATACAGTTCCTCGCTTTTTGTAAAATATTCGACTAATGAGAAGCTTGGTATTAAGACTGGAAACATCTTTGGGAAGTAGCATTGGTCCAACACAATTTTGCAAATAGCGAAATAGAAATATTGGTCAAAGAGTTCATTCTTTTCCATCACATATTGTCCAATTCTGATTTCATAGTTTAATTCAAATGTTGGCAACTCATGAAATGATATCCACAACGTGCTCGACGGAATTTGCAACATTTGAACTCTGACTTGACCTTCTATCTTATTAAAATCAAAATTAATAGACATCGTGATCCCAAAGATGTTCAAGTCTATCAAAAGTCCACCCCCATAAGGCCCAATACATTCAATATTTCCGTCAACTAATATACCACCACATGAATCATCGCACTGAATCTTTGGCTTTTTAATGAATGGTGCGGTCTTCCCCGTCCGAAGCCCAGACACTTTCAACCCCTTCCATACCTCCTTCTCGAGAATTGCATTAAATTTGTCTCTAATTTTCTGGTTTAGCTCAGCATTACTGATAAATGGATATGCAAACACTTGGAAGATCATATTAACTGTGCTTGCCCAGTGCTTTTCTCGAAGATCAAGTTCAGTTCCTTTCAGAGAAATAAGTTCTTGTAAGGCTCTGAATTGTTTTCTCCCCAACCCGTTGACTGTGTTCTTTCGTGCCCTTCTGTTGTGAGCCATATCCACCAATTCCTCGAAAAGTTTGAACCAATATTCAACTTCGTAGCCATACCTAAACCGAATTTGGACAGTACTTTCATTTTTATATATCTTTTTGCTGCCCTTCACTCGCAAAAAGTTCTTTTTAGACAACTTCCTCCCACAGAAGCTGACATTTTCTATTTCAACATCACTTAATTGTATCTGATACAATTGGTTTGTTACAACTAGATTAATATGTTTCCCCTCTGTGGATATCACAGCAGAAGTCTCTTCTATTTGAGTCTGTATTATACACATGGAAGACACTTCACCAAGTGGGACTTGCTCAAACCAGTTATTGGGAAATGTGGGCGCCTGGTTTGTTGGTGGAAACGAGAGTGGTGTGACTTCTGGTACTAACGGAGTCGCTTTGGGTTTCTTCTTGAATACCAAGAAAAATGAAATGACCAACGACAAAATGACACCAACGACAAATCCAAGCACGACCTCGAGAAGAAAGACAATCATTGCAATTTTCAAGTTCCTTCCAAAACAAGTAAATTTCCACTTTCTCCAAGAAAACATGAGGAATCAAAAACCGATATTTTAATAGTAAACATTAATAAAAGAAACTATACAATAACAAATACACTTTCACAAATACAACAAGTTCTTTGTTGGCTCACCACAATAGAAGCACGTCGTTGGCGTGCAGTGGATCGCCTCGAAGAGTCCAGATAATTTG